GAGGGTTCCGGGTATTGAGGGTCATGGCTTAAGGGCATGAGGCCTTCAGCTCGGGGGGCTAGATGGAGACCCTGCGCATAAATCTCTTCTAAGCTTCTAAGTGATGTCCTACCACCGATACCACCAAGGGTGTACGTGTAATATACACTGTACTGGAAACCTGCACCTCTCTTGCTTGGGGTCCAGGGCTTAGGGTCTAGGAGGTTCCGCGGGATAAGAAGAATATCTCATTCAGGGTCTGGCTTTCATAGTTACTTCAACTGGCAGCTTCTGAAGACGGGCGCCAACTTTCTTGAAAATGAGAAGCATTCGGCGTTGTTCTCGCAGAGGTTGTTCGTGTCATGCACTTGGCAACTCATGCGAAGATTCACTTTGCAAGTTGTGCTGCGTTTGAGTAATTGATATGTTCTGCACGCCGTCACTTGGAGTCATTGCCTGCCAAGGGCGACCATTCTGGGAAGAGAAGTGTCGAGGTTTCTTGTTGGGGCGTGACTTTCATGCGCACCCGATGAGGTTCACGGGCAATCTGACGAAGTCAGGCGCTGATGCCGTAGGTGTTGGGACTTGAGGCCTCATCCCGACGCGACCTTCACACCTGTTTGATAATGAAGACTCGCTCAGATTCACATCTACACGTCTGAGGGGTTGTGGCGTTTCGGGTTATGGGGTTTAGGGTTTGGGGATCAGGGTTTGGGGTGTTGGGGTTAAGGGGTGTAACCCTGAAGGGATAAAGCGTTGTGGGCTTAGGCATGGGTTTGCATGTCTCGCAAGCCCCATGCGCCTCCAGGCCTTTCGAATCCCAGAGCCATTGAACAGGCCCTGAATGGCCCAGAACCCTCAGGCCTCCACCAGCAGATGTGGGAGTGACCTGTGGGTCGGAGGATGAGAGAGTGGGACTCGTCTTTCCCCAAAGCTTGGATATCACTGTGCAGCCTGGCACAAGCCGGATCGGGTGCCCACCCCTTTGGGAACCCCTGGGAGTTCTTGGGGGGGGGTCTGGCAAACGGCCTCCAGACGGCGCAGGTGCACGCGGGCCCTGCGACAGACAACTCTTTCGAACACTTAGAGTTTGCTTTGGAGGCTTTGGAGGAAAGGCATGATAAGGTTCAGGGGTCGAGGCTTCGGAAGTTGGAGCGAGGGATTGAGAGGGTTCAGGACATAGGCGGTGGTTTACAAAGCGCGGCTGCGCAACCCGCGCGAGAGCTGCATCGGGAGTTACGAAGAAGGTCATGTAGTTTCCGAATATACATGGCATCCCCAAAGCGCCTTTCCCAGGAGAGGCGCTCCTCCAGAAAAAGGCGCACGACAGCCTCGGGTTTGTGCCAGATATCTCACGTTCAAGCTCAGGTAACTGGTGGTCCCTCTTCTGCATGGGCATGTTTGGCTTGTGCTACTTTCCAGCTTGCCAAGCTTTGTTTACAGGTCCACCCCTCCTGAGAAAAACGGCCCTCCCCCCTCCTCCCCTTTTTTCAGCCGCCAGACCTGTAATTTCCTCTGCAAGGTCATTGGAAATATCTGAAGAAGAAGAACCTAGGGGTGAAGGGGGGCCAACACGACAAGCAACCAAACAGCTCACCCCATCCCCCCGCATCCTCCCTCCCTCTGCAAGGTGCGGTTCTTGCAGGGCGGTTTAGGGTTTAGGGTCTAGGGTCTAGGGTTTAGGGTATAGGGCTAGGGTTTAGGGTTTAGGACCAGCATGACAAGTGGTTTTGGTAGCCACAACCAGCGGCCACCCGAGGCTCAGGCCTGCTCGCCCGACGAGCCTAGGCTGAACCGCCTCGGAAGGCTTCGGGGGATTAGTTTTTGGGGCCTTTTGGGGCCTTTTGGGGCCTTTTGGGGCCTTTTGGGGCCTTTGGGGCCTTTTGGGGCCTTTTGGGGCCTTTTGGGGCCTTTTGGGGCCTTTTGGGGCCTTTTGGGGCCTTTTGGGGCCTTTTGGGGCCTTTTGGGGCCTTTTGGGGTTAGGGTTGAAAGCCCCAACTCACCTGAAGAACAACAAGCCTCAATCCTGGACCCCACCAACTCCAAACCCACCCAAGCCCAAACCCAAACCCCAGAACCCTAGACGCCCTCAACCCCGCCAAACCCCCAAACACCCCAAAACCCTCCCCCAAACCCCCAAAACCCTTAAACCTTTTGAACCCCCAAGCTTCGGGAGCCCTTGGGTGCCACTGGGAGCCCCGGCCACCTCCGCCCTTCGCCTCTGACAAAGAGATATGCTTGGCGCAGGGGCGCTTGGGAGCCGGTGCTTTTCGGGCTCTTTCCAGCGTCTTCAGGGCTCTCTATCACCTTTTCATCTTTTTTTTTGAGAGGGGCGATGGGGGGGAGGGGACTATCTGGGGTTCATCGGGTTTTTCTGCCTCCACGCTCCACGCTCTTGAACCTTGAGACCCAGGAGGGAACCCAAAACCCAGCATGCCATGAACCACGAAGGAAAAATACCAGAAACCCTGAACTCGACCATTCGAGTGGAAACCCCAATGCCTAGCCCTAGAACTCGAACCTGAAACCCAAATCACCCAAGAACCACATGAAAAAACAGAACCCTAAACCCTGCACCCCAGACCCACGATGAACCACAGGGAGAGGGGGACCATGGTGGGGGGGGAGGCGGGGGTGGGTTGCATGGATGCTGTTGTTGGCGGCTTGCAGGGCCTTGTCGAGCTTCCACACATTCAAAGTAGTAGGAATGACTCTGCAAGGACATTACAAGAGCCAAAACTTCGAACTTCAAATTCTGCACCCCAACCCCCCCCCCCACCCAAACCCTAAAGCCAACTCGTTCCCACTCGCCTTCGGACTCGGATGCCTGAGCCTCCCGGGGGGGTTTAGGACTTACGCCTCGTCCCTAAGGCGCTATGCCGAACCCAAAACCAAAATCAAACTGGAACCCTTAGATTCTGCGCTTCTTTCGGCTGTTGAGGGGTGTTCGCTGGACCCTTCGGCAGCTTGCAGCTTTTGGTCGCGCACAACACGAAACTCCTCAACCCTAAAGCCTGAACTCGAAAGCTAAGGATTGAACTATGAGCCCTGAGCCCCAGCAGAGTTGGCTTGGACCTCTCAATCCTGCAAAGGGCAGAACCCAAAGAAGCGGCGAACCAGCTCGCCCCAAAAACTATCCAAGAGCACAAGACAAAAGCTCACCAGAGCAGAGCCTTAGGAGGTTGGGGTCGAAGCCCCAAAATGGTCCCTCCCCAAAACCCCAAAGCTCAAGACGTGTGCACAAGAAAGTTGCTCTTCTCAACAGTTAGCAGAAGGCCAGTACGAGGGAAGCGACTTCCACCCGGCGTGCTCTTGCAATGACCCCGTAGGGGCCGGGCTGCTTGCTCGAGCGAACCGAGCAGCAGCATCAGCTGCTCGACCTGCTGTGTTGACCCTGAGGGTTTAGGATTTAGGGTTCAGGGTTCAGGCTCCCAGTTTACATCCCTAAACAAGGCTGCACAGATCAGCACCTACAAACGACCTCAGGACCTCAGAGCGCGAGCCAGACGTTCCTTAAGTCGAGTCAAAGTAAGCGGCTGTATGAAGCTGTCCATGCGCAGGTTTTCCTGCGACTGCTTTGGTAACCCACAGTCGGCGCCTTTCCGTTTTCGCAGTATTGCTGCGCCCGCACAAAAGATCTGCCCCGAATCCACCCGACCTGTCCAGAGAACAAAGTACGCAAGGTGAAGCTCATCAAGCAAAGTCTGGGCTCAGCAGTCCCCAGCCTGTTCTATGAAGTCGCTGAGGAGTAGGAAGCAAACCTCCGCAAATACGTGGAAATGAGAGCGGGAGGGTGGGATCTACAAAAGTCTGTCGGGCCAAAACCGCCCTCACCCTGTAACCTGCAAGCCCGAAGCCCTAAACCCCAAACCATGAAAAACACGGAAACAACATCCAAAAAAAATGCGGAAAAAAAGCCTGAAGTATGTCCAGGTGTCAGACTTGGCGGTGCAGCTTCTGCGGGCGAGAGACCTGGGAATGCTAATGAGCCAGGGCTTTGGGGCTCAAGGGGACTGAATGCCAGAATAGTTTCCTTAATAGGGGTGAATTCAACAGCTCAGGAAGCCCCATCATGCAAACTGCTGCAGCTTGCAAACCGTGCGGATCTATCTCGAAATCTCGGCAGCAGCGATGGCCATGTGTGGGAGTCCTGATAATTGGAAACTGTTGTTGCAATCGTAGCCATGCCCGAAACTGAACCGGAATGGTGCTGGCCACGTACCAGGCGCGGCGCCCGCAAAGTTCGGGGGGAGGACGCAGGCGCGCGTGAGCCTCTGCGGAGCACAATGCGGCTTGGGCTGCGAGGGCTTGGGATACGTCGTGGGGCAATGAGCCCTCGACCCTAGACCCCTCGAGGCTACTGCTGGGGTTTGTCATGTTAGGTGGTACGATGTGGTACGGCTTTGCGATGTTTACTTGGGTTGATAAGTTTGACTGAACATGCCGAACCCAATCCAAACTTCCAGCATCCAACAACACCATGAACAGTAGCCACCTTGATGAGTCATTCCTACCAGTAGGCAGACAGAGGTCAACATGTTGCCTGCAGCATGAGTAAAAGGAGTAAAGGAGGGACCCTTCTCCGGGAGCCAGGCTACAAATAAACATGAATTCTACTAGTCATATTTTAGTCGCATTTTGTTGTAGGGGTAGGATCCAGTGTTCCTTCTAGGGGCCCTGAGATGAGTTGAGCCCCCCCTGATTTACCCTTCCAAGCTTCTTTTCCAGGCTGCGGGCCACGTCGCTCTGCACTACACCGCCTTCACATTTTGCACCGCTGGAAGAAGGTCCCCGTAAACCCGAAACTTGGGATGTTCACCCTTAGACTAACAGTCCTTCATAGGGATTAGAATCGGGGGTGCTATAATCCTATTCAGGACTAGTGTTAGTATGCGGGGGAACATCCCAACCTAAACCCTAAACCCTAAACCGGTTGCCTTCGGTCACCGTGCCCTCGGAAGGCAGATGGAAGAGATGGCATGACGGAGTCCGAGGCTTGTGGGCCGCTGGTGGACTCCGCTTCACACTTGCATGGTAGAGGGATCCTTCTTGCCTTGGCTCAACGCAGAGCTGGGGGCGCGGGGCTCTCAGGGACTACATTAAGATACACCTGGCTGAACTCACGAGAGCGGCTGACATAGAAACAAAACAACGCCATACGCTGCAACCTGTAGCATGACCGGCTGCTGGTTCCGGTGAGCTCCACGATCTTTGTCTCGAAATCATCCATGATCTTGTCTGCCTGCACACATATGGAATCATGCGGATGTGTGTCGCTTCTTGTCAAGAAGGCCAGACGCTCAAAAGCACGAAACTTCCTTGAGGATCCGCGGACAGCACGCCCTGCCTGCCACTCCTTGTGGATGAGGACGACAGTTCTCATTACCTGCACCACACAAGCAACAGCCATCCTAAAATGCCAAAGGCATCCCCTCGGACCCGGAGGATCCCCAGAACAGCAGTTCTCGAAGCAGTAATGGACATACTTGACGATCTGCTGCGGCTGCTCTATTGAAAGGGGTTTAGGAGTGCCGTGGGAAGAAAGCCTGGAGTTCAAGGCTTAAAGGACTCAGAATTCTTCAGAGGCCGAAGTCGGCAGCCTGGGGCTTAACTTCGACCGATGCTGCTTTAGGGCTTCAGGTCTGAGCAACCGCAGGCCTGAATGTAGAGCCGCAGCGTGCTCTTGCCATTGATGTTCTCCCCGACCCGAGCGTCGTAACCTTGACAGCTCCCGTGCCAGGTTTCAGTGTTTTGGCATCAGTTATCCGCGCTGATGTCTGCAGGCGTCGCTTTGGGAAATACTCAAGGTCCACCCCGTACTTACTTGAATGGCTGGGGGTTTGGGCTCTGGCTCATGTGAACTAGTGTCCTTCACTTGCTACCGGGGGCAGAGAGTCTCCCCAAAACAAGCCTCTCAAAACCGTATTTTCATATACAGAAATGAATTCATCCATATATCTATTCCCTTAGCCCCCGTCAAGCCGAACTCCGGAGCGCGTCGCTTCATGTAAGGGTTGTGGGCCAACTCTGTCAAGGATTTCTGCCCTACATGACAAGTGTTGACGAGCTCTGCTCCAGGGCTTTTAGGGTTTCGCATTCGGGAATCCAAGAAACGAAGGCCAAGGCAGCAGGAGGAAGAGGCTTTGAAGATGTGCTGCACTTGCATGCTGCTAAATTAGGAGAGCCACGATCTTTGATGTTGGCGAACTCCTTCTTTGGGCACATCCTGCGCACATGAGGGTGGCATGGCGGCACGCAACCAGAGCCTGTGCCTCTTGGGAAGCCTTAGCGACCAATGATCACTTCAGCACCCTCTGACTCGTCCGAGATATGAGGGATAAAATCGGAGATGGGCCTTTTGAGGAGAGCAGCACAACGTGAAAACGGCAACCCGAACCCCCCCTCCCCAAAACAACAAAAACTGTACAAAAAAGCAGAGCTAAGGGGACAAAAACAGGGCCGGTCCGGTAGATTTGGCCGATCGCTGCCAAGAGCCCGAACCTTCGCTTCGTGCTGCTTTGTGGGGGGGTTCCCCCAGTGCTGGGCTTTGGAGCTCTTAGCTCTGAGGGTTTCGGGGGCCATTTACCACTCATGGGGTTTAGAGGGTTTAGGGTTTAGAGGGTATAGGCCGTCGTGGTGCAGCAAAATGTTCGGGTTTAGTTCGGGTTGTTTCGGGTGTTTCGGTTGGAAGGGATTTCCGAGTTTCATATTCGCGCTTTGTCCAATCTGTTTGTGAGTGGGCCCGTCTGTTTCGTGCTCATCTGGCTTCGCTGTACTTCCACTGTTTCAAGAGGGCCGCGGCGTCATGGGCTGGTTGCATCGTTTGCACGAGCACGGTTCTCGAGTCTTGCGGCTGAGCGGTGGCTGGCTTGGATTTCTAGGAATTAGGATCAGTGCAGCTTGGCCACATCTGCGTGTGTGACGCGAGCACGAACATCATTCGGAGCACCTGCCACGATCACTGAACCCTACACTTACAGGGAGAGGCAACATGACCAAAGGATGGGAGTCTCTTCGTGCGGCAGCAGCAAGGAAGGCAAAAGAACGCGAACAACCGAACGCCACGTCGGCGCCGACCAAAAAAAGCCTTGCGACATTCACAGAACAGACAGCCTTGCACAACTCCATCCTAAACCCTCAGCCGAAACCTTCCGTTTGAGGGAGCCGCCTCCTTGTCTAAAGTGGGCCCTCCTCCTTCGGCGTAGCTGCTGATGAGGCAGTCCAGGTATTTGTCCATGTTGGCGTTCTGTCAAGTCTCAAGACATCCGACGTGGGCTTCGGGCTTGGGCCTGCCGGAAGCATCAACTTCGAAGCTCCATCCTCAACCCGCAAACCCGGCTCAAGATGCAGCTCTCACTCCGCAATGGCATTCAAACAAATAAGCCCCCCAACCTGCAATCCTTGAACATCCCTGAACCATGCCACTGCCCCTCATCCCACGGGACCAGCACTTCGAAGTCGCCACAGTACAGCCACCACCAGAGCTTGAAGCCTGGGGTTCAGGGGGCCCCTGCCTCCGGGCAGGGGTAGGGGGCTTCGGGTTGTTGGGCTTGGGCTTCGGAGGGTTCGGGCTGAGGATTCTTCGGATGCTGTAAGGTTTAGGAGGAGACCAGCTGGCTCATCAATCCGACTCGATCCAGAGCCCTGCACCCAGCCGGCGCGCCTAAACTCCGTGCGCCCATGCCGCCCCAGTCAAAGACCCCCAGCTCCAGCTCCTGAGCTCCGGGATCTTACGTTGCGAGACCAGCTCTCGAAAGCCTCTGAAGCCTCAGAGGCCAAAGCCCTCCAGCTTCAGCTTCGCCAGTGGGGGGCAAAAGCGAAACGTTGGTTTTTCGTGACCCGTAGAGCACTGCGATGCTTTGTTGGGCGCCTCCTGAAATAGCCGTTGGCTACGCCGAAGACCGTGCACTTTCACATGCTTCAAGTCCTGTCTGGCTGTGGAAGTGCTGATACAAAGCTTCAAAATCAAGGAAGGCCAAGAAACAAAAGAAGCAAGACAGCTGTGGCTGTGAGCAACCGAAACCATACCTTGAGGTGGCTTGGTTTCTGCGAAGACTAAAGGCCCTAAACTTAGGCCCTCTGTTCAGGACTTCGGCCAAGCTTCGCCCGCTTCATTCCTCCAGAAGTAGGCCTGAGCCAGTTGGTGGCCACGGCTTTGGTTGCTTTGGCACTCACCTTTCAGATTATGCCCTTCTACTGCCTTAAGCAACCCAATGGATTTCTACGTGGTTCGGAAGCGAGCCTATCGCGGTACCGGCTCAAAACTCAAAACGGAGCCGAAGTGCATTATCCACGTTCATGTTGCCGTGGGCCAAGGAGATGTAGTCCTCGTTGTGGTGGAAGAAATACCTGAGCAGTTTCTTGGAGACGAGGACTCTCTGCAAAAGACCACAACACGCCACACAGGCACAGCCTCTCTCAAGCTCTCGGGCAAGAGATTGATGGAGGCTTTATGGAGCCTTCTTTGCAGAAGTAGACGTGGTTTGCCTTTCACGTCAACGCAGCAACTTGAGAACAACACGATCAATACGACTTCAACACACCCCGACGCAAAGTCTCGGTCTTTCCCAGCATTAAGGAGCCCTGCGCCCCTGCGCCTCCAAATCCGAAGCATCCAAACCAAAGACTTTTGAAACTGGAAGCGAAAAGCATCCTGGACTAACACTGACCAACTGAGAACTCTCAAAAAATCGACATACGCACCTTCAAGTAAACAAGCCCCGAACGAACATTATTGATCTTTGCGCCCTACGGGTTGTGGGGTTCATGTCCTAACTGCCACTACGCGGCTGGCTCTCCGCAGCATAAGCATTCAGCTTCATCAGCGTGGCCCGGAAGCTCTCCTGTGCTGCTTTGGGAATCTCGAGCCGGGGTCTTAGAGGCTCAGGGGCTCAGGAGCGCAGGGTCGAAAGGCATCGCGCCTGCCACGCTGGATCCGTGCAGAAGCTGGGGTAGAGCACTGAGGCCACGTTGCCGAAGAACTCGAAGCCCATGTCGATCTTGGACCTGAGTCAGCTGAAGAGCCCAGGCTGTTGTGGGGCTGCGGGTGACAGGCGTGTTCAGGAACCAGCGGGCCACGTAACAGGGACAACGTTTCAGGAACTACGACGTAGCAAGAACGAGGGGGACGCGAAACAGAGACTGCACAGGCCTCCCCCACAGTTCCTGGTACAGCTTTGGCTTAGTTCCTGGAACAGGTTCCTGAAACAAAGTTGCTGTAACACCCCCTGGTTCCGGGTACTGCGTTTGCTCGGCTGTTGCAAAGGTCCAGCGCCAAAGCATCCAGGAGTTCCAAGCTCAGAACCTGCACAAAAGTCTCAACCCATCCTCCTCTGAACAGCCAAAGTATGCATCTCCTAACATTCCACCAACCGCGAAGCCTCGGAGACCCTAAACACGTAGTAACCTCAGGGGCCCCGGGCTTCAGCATGTTCGTAGGCTGTCCGGAGCAGCCAGACTGCATGCCAAAGGCCTCGTCGAGGGTGTGGCGCAGGGTTCGTAGGGTTTTCAGACTAGGGGTTTAGGTATTTAGGCTCAGAGACTCAGAGTTTTTAAGACTCAACGTGTAGTATTTAGACTCAGAGTTTAGACTCAGAGTTTAGACTGGGAGTGCAGGAGTGCGGACGTGTAGCCAGCGTCGCTCCTTCACATTGCAACATCTCGTCCACCACCCCACGAACTTCTCAGGGTAGAGTCTTGGGTTTGTTTGGTTTTAAGGCTTAGGATTTAATTTAAGGAGTGTTGAAGTTCAAAAGCCTGCATGTAGGGTTAACTCCGATACTCAAGAAAAGCAAACATCCCCTACCGCACAGCCTCCTGGGGAACGTTCGTCATGTCCTCGAAATGCTTCGAGACCTTTGCCGGTTCACCGGATGTCCCCAGGACAGGGCTCAGGATTCAGGGTAAATTTGAAGCTTCTCAGGGCCTCCTGGAACAGCAAGCAGCTCCCCTGCCCTTGAACCCATGCCGTGTGCTTCATTCAGGTTTTGGGTCCAAACCAGAATCGGCTAGGGCCTTCAAAGCTTCAATCCCCGAGCCCCAAGAAAGAGGAAACGCCCTGAGTGCCCTCCCCCAAGCCTCAATTTATAAGACACGAAGCAAAAATATTACATGTATATATATAAATATATATATATATATATATATCCGCCGACCCCAGCGGTAGCAGGGCGGCGTCAGTGAAGACCCCCCACCGCCCTCACCGCCCTCACCCGCTCTCACAGCATGCTGCTCATGACACCTTGAATTGGAGTGTTTTTGCATTGTTTGGCTTCAGTGCATGCACCCCATCGCCCTCACCCATGACGCCTTGAATTGGACCTTTGACCCCCCCCCACCCCATCCATTCAGGTGGTTTAAAGGGCCCAGTGCATGCCCGACCACCCCCTGACCAATCTCTAGTGTTTTAAGCATTCCAGTCCATGCCCGCCCTGACCGCCCTCACCGCTCTCACCGCTCTCATCACTCCCCCTCCCTATGCCCCCCAGTCCACCCCTCCCTGACACCAACCCTTTGCCCTCAACCCCCCACCCTCGACTCTGAAACCCCACCCCCCCCCACCCCCCCCATCCCTTCCCTCCTAGGCCCCTACCCCCTACTCCGCCCTGACAAATCTCTAGTTTGAGGGATTCCAATCCAAGCCCGCCCTAACCGCCTCCCCGCTCTCATCACTCCCCTGCCTTCCGCCCCCAACTCCACCAACCCTCAACCGTCACCTCCCCTGTCCACCCGCCGCGCTCCACCCTGCCTTCCGCCCCAACCCTCTCACCAGAGCTGGTCAAATGAGTCAGGCCCCCCTTTCCGCCAGCCGCCCCCACCCTCTCCCACTCCCACTCCCTAACCCTCCCACCAACCCTCCCCAGCCCTCATCATTACCCCCTCCCACCATCGTGCACCATCCGACCGCCCCCCCGCTCTCACCGCTCTCATCGCTTCTTCATCTCTATGCCCCCCAGTCCACCCCTGCCTTCCGCCCCCAACTCCCTAATCCGACACCAACCCTCTACCGTCACCCCCCACACCCCCCACCCCCGCCGCCCCCCTTTCCACCCCCACCCACCCCCACCCCCCCCGCCCCCGCCCCCCCCGCCTGCCCGCGCTCCACCCTGCCTTCCGCCCCAATGCGACTGTCTTGGGTCTGGGGTCGGCGGCACTGGCGGTAGCCATTAAATCGGGCAGCGCGAGGTCCCCAAAGGACCGAGCAAATGCGGACCTTTTAGCCCGGGTCGTCCCGGGAATAGCCTTGCTGGCCTCTGGCCTTCTGCGAAGCAGAATTAGGCCGGACGCCAGTGCCGCTTTTTTTTTCGTGGTTTTTTGCGTCGCCACGGAGGCCCCCAGAGGGCGCGCATCATGAGCATCAGCGGGTCCAGCCCGGGACCCCCAGGCGCGCATCAGGAGCATCAGCGGCTCCCGGGGCTAGGCAAAAGGGAGTTTAGGGGCCTTATAAAGTGCTTAGAAATGTTAAGGGAGTCTAGGACTCAAACGCTTAGAGATTTGAAGGGAGTTTAGGGGCCTGAAAATGCTTAGAAACTTAACGCTTAGAGATTTTAAGGGAGTTTCGGGGCCTCAACATGCTTAGAAACTGCTCGCCCCGGGCTTCTGCGTGCGCTGCCCGCCCATGGGCGCAGCCCCTTAAAATATATATATTATGCTTCGAGTACAGCAAACCGAAAAGGGAGCCCTTCCCACTGAAAGTCAAACCCGAATCACCGATGAGCTCATTCTGCGTTTCTCCCAAGGCGAGCGCCAACTTCGGGTCCCCGAAGCTCCCGGCCTGCAGGGTGCTTGCTTGGAATCTGGGTAAGTCTTCGGGCCTTCGGGGCTTTTGGGCTCTCTTGGGGGGTCTTTTGGGGTCTTTTGGGCTTCTGTGTGCTGAAGTGCCCGGCCTTGTAGCGGCCCGCCATCAGGCCTCCCTGCCGCACCAGCGCCTGGGACAAGGAGGAGACGGGCGGCTTCGGTTTTCCCTAAGGCTTACTTGGAGGTTCAGGGTACGTAAAAACCCATGATAAGTGTAGTTATAACCCACATAGAAGCCCCCCTAAGTACCCTAATGGGGTTATGATTGGGTTATAAGTACAGTCATAGTTGAGTTACTAAGCACCATGAACCTCCAAGTAGGGGTTTGGGTCTTGAAGGGCTGCCAGGTGGCCAGGTAGTACTCAGCGGGATCAGCCCGCAAGCACCAGTCCATGCACTTGTCGTAGGGCCCCTCGATTTCGTAGGGGCCCAACCTGGCTTAAAGAATGCTTCGGAATGTTTCGGGCCACCCTCCCTCGTGCGAGGAGCACACAGCCGGCCTGAAGTGCTTTAAGAGGCGTCGGCCTATAGGGCCGGACCTTGTCCCCTGAGGTTCCGAGCCCCAAACCCTGAACCCTAAGCCCGGGTACATGCCTCTTCTTGGGATCATCGCGGGTCTTCCCCGCAAAGTCCAAAGGCCTGGTGAGACTGGATCAAGGATTAGGGTTGAGGGTGTCAGGGCTTAGGGTTCGACACAGGTGTAGTGGATCGAGAACCCTAAGCCCTAAAAACGAAACCGAGGGATCTCGGTAGGCCCTGAAATTGGGACCCTTACGCCATAGCCGTAGTCCGCACACAGTATGGATCCCAAGCCCAAAACCCTACACCCAAGTCCCCAAACTCTCAAACCCAATGAAACCCTGCAGGAAGGTCGAGGACTCCAGAAGCCGAGAGCGGCGCGCTGGGTCATGGAACTTCACAGCCTGCTGGCATTGAAAAGAAGCTTCCCAGCCCGAACTCTTCACAAAGTAATTGACGTGTCAAGACAAGACGTGCCCACGAAAAGCTAGAAAATGAGGACTGTGCACTGCTGGCTCCTCAAATAGGTCTGCATGCAGACATATGCAGATAGCAGGTACCTGATCAGCGCATGCCCACCAAGGCCTCAGTGATGAGAATCCAGTTCGACGTCTCGTTGCTGATATCACCGAAGTAGAACCTGCGTGGGAGGGAGGTTGAGCCAGTCCTCATCCAAGCCCAGCACGAAGCACCAAATTCCAGACCCAAGCCAGCAAAGACACTCTGACGATAGTCAATCAAACCCGTCATTGGTTGCAGGAATCCAAGAAGCCCGACCCCTCCCTAAACCTTGACATTGAAAGCCCTCCTCAGCCCTGAAACCCTGAAACCCTGAAACACCTGCTGCGTGCCTTGGGATCTTCACCGGCAGCTTCGACTGGGCAGTGATACTCGCGGGTTGTCAGCGATTCTTTAGACGCTCATCAGGGGCCACAGGGATAGCCCCGAAAGGGACCCTCACAGGGTTATCAGGGGCCGAAAGGGAGGTCCTCGAGGGCTGGCAGAGGCAAACTTCCGAAATCCCTTCTCGGCCTCAAGAAGCCGCGAAGTGTTGAGCTCGTAGAGCTCCATGGGCTGCTTGTTGACCTTTGCCAACAAAATCTTTCCCTCGAAAGCCTTCCAAAAAATCTAGAATTTAAACCTAAAAAACAACCTGGACCTAAAACTAAAAACCCCCGGAGCCAGGTGTGCTTCCGAGCTGCAGAGCTGCTGAGGCGATCCGACATCGTCTCCTTCTTGCTGGTTTTTAGGCTCTGGGCGGCTTTGCTTCTGCTTCAGAGCTTCAAAGAGTTTGTCGAAAGAAGGCGCGGCGGAAGCTCACTCAAGATCCATCCACGGAAGGATTCATGCTGCGCCATTGCAAGCACCCTAAATAAGGTTATAAGTATCAGAAAAGGAGTTACCCTACTTATAACCCGACTTGTAACTACCTAAGGCTGAGGGTTCCTGGAGTTGTTCTGCTGTCCGGTTTTCTTAGGTTTATTACCAATATGGCCTTCTCCATGCCGTGCGGGATCTTTGCAAAGAGCTTGGTGTGCAGGCATTCGTCGGGAAGCTCATACTCCACCTGCAGCGTAGTTGCTTGAAGCTCGCAGGCTATCATCGGGTGTAGCCACAGGTACACACCCCCCACCTCGAAAAGGAACTTGCCGCCATTGTTCCCGGTGGTGATCCTCTGCACAACAGGGGGTCCAGATTTGCAATCATGTTATTAGTTGAGGGCCCAGGGCAGCAGAGGTCAGGGTTCCCGGTGGGCCTAAACAAGTCTTCTCCAGATAAACCCATGGCCCAACGGGGGCGAGATGGGTGCGGCTGTCCTGAACTTCTTGTCGGGAATGACCTGTGCAGAAACCCTCCAAACCCCCCCTCCCCTTGGAGGTTGGGAGGCTGAGTGCACGTGACCCTCTCCCCATGTCTTGAGGTAGACCGAGATGCCTTAAATCCTAAACCCAAATAAACCCAAATAAACCCAAATAAACCCAAATTAATCCCCCCAGGCTTACATGTCACACCCACCTGCGGGGCTATAGGGCTCAGGGACACTTGTGGTACTATAGTCGGACTGAGCCCGGGAGACATGCGCGAGTGAGTGCGGGGCCTTTGTCACCCGGTTCTCCTGTGGCAGAGTGCCCGCAGCATGCATCGCCTGGCAGGGAAGGGTTTCTTCGGGATTCAGGGCTTAGGGTTCAGGTGGAGCCAAAGCCCCCACATAGTCCAAACCTGAACTTGCTTAGAAAGCCGGTCTAAGTCGTGAGTCTGGGACTAGGCAGGGGGCCTTGGTCAGCCACTCCGCCCCCCAATCCTCGCTGTGGAGCATGTCTTCAGTCCTGACGAGGCACTTGTGGAGTTCGAGTTCTTGTTTTAAGTCTTCTAAGGGTTTATCTAGCACCTTGCAAGGGTTCAATAATCAGGGTGGGGGCTTGGGGTTGGGGGATACGGGTGCAGGGCAACCTTAACTCCCAATGACCCGCGCTCCCTCCGCTTGATATTCCCTGGCCCTACCCGGTCCAGGGGAAGGTGATGCCGTAGAGCATGCCCTTGCGGGTCTTGGTGTGACCCTCAGTGACCGTCTCATTGGTGATGGTCTTCCAAGCGGGAACCTCAAGTTTCTGCACGGCAAGGCCAATGCCAGTGCCCCACTTTCGTTGAAGTTACCTACCAAAGTAGTAGCTGCAGCTTCATTCTAGCACAGGGGGGGGGGGGTTAGGGCTTAGGGCGGAGGGTGTGATCGCCGTCGACCCGAAAACCCAAACTCGCCCGGCACCTTCCTCTTGAGCTCTTTCTTACACCTGCGCAGCAGATCACAAGCCCAATGTGACGGCAGGGCGAAGCCTTCTGAGTATGTTTAGTATGCAGGGCTCTGCCAAATTGCACAGCCGAACCCTTTCAAACAACCGGCAGCTCTGCACAGTTGTTTAGGAAAAGAACAGACTCACAAAAAACCGCCGAGAAACTGCACTCCTATTTTGGCTGCACCTACCATTCTGACATCTCGAGTCTGCCCGAGCCTTTGCTGGATGCGCCAGTCCGCCTCCGAAACGCCCTCCGGGCGCTCCTCTTCCACCACGGCAACCCTCAAGGCTCTGGAGGTCTTGAAGATTCAGGGGATTCGAGTCCAAGGCTTCGGATTGCAGGTCGTGTGGTTTTTGGAGCAGCTTCGATTCACGCAGAGCTCACAAGCCTGCGGGCTTTGTGGGAACTCTGGAAGGCAATGAACTTCCAGGATCCAGGGTCTCTACAGTAGGGAGCAAGAGGCCTAGAGGGCCTAGAGGCCTACAGTGCAGAACACTTTCAAGGACCCGTTGCGCTGGGGACCTTGTTTGGGAGGTCTTGGGCTTGGAGACAATTCAGTGCACCATAGAACCCGAGGCCGCAGCGGGCCGCCGTTGAGCTTCTCCCAGGACACAGCAGGATCCTGGTGGAGGTTTGGGGGTTTTGGCAACTTGGGGGCATTTGGGGGGTTTAGGGCACAATAGCTTCGGTGGGCTTCACGCTCCGCACGCGGGGCTGCGATGGCTGCGGGGCTCTGATTTAAGACGTTGGGGCTTTGGGCTTCAGAGCCCTGGTCGGTGTGGTTTGGCTGGGGGCCCTAAGTAGGACCACCATGTCAGTTCCTGGCCAAGATGCAACGACCCTCCCTGAACTCCAAACCCTCCCCGGCTACCCCAAACCCTTCCCATCTACCCGTCCCACAAGCAGCCTCAAACGGTTCCCACGGAAGCAGGCCCATGGCAGGGAAGCAGAGGAACGAGAGGATGCAGAGGTTTCCCACTTTTGTGAAGAATCGCCCGGCGCCTACATCCTACATCCTCTACGGTTTAGTGTATCTACTTTGTATGTTCTACTTGTCATGCAAGTGTTCTTTTACACGCGCTATATACGCGGCGCGTGGATTCTTCTGCATATGGCTGCTTGAGGACGCCTTGGGTCAGGGATGAGGGATGAGGGTTGAAGCCTTGCAAATTGCGGCGGGAGCTCCGGCGACTGATGATTCTGGCGACAAACACGCATTCTCCATGTCGACGGGTCAGGTTTCATGAATCAGGCTTCGGGTCATGGACTGGGGATGCAGAAATCTCGCTTTCATCTGAATGTGCCCCCCTGACTTGGCCCAAGGCCTCCGCGCGCAACTGCAACTGGTGCATCTGCCCCTGTGCATGGAGCCAATCTCTCGCACCATGAAGATTTAAGACGTGAGCTTTGGGTTCAGAGCTTCTAGCACCACAGAGATGGCGACTTTAGCATGAACTTAAGGCCACGAATGGGGCGGGGCTGCCAGAATCAACAGCGAGATGCAAGGAAGCACCATGAGCCACCCAAGTAGGATCGATCTGAGTGAAGCAATGTGCTTCTATGGGCACAGGGGCCTTCGAATATCGACAAAAGAAACAGAAGTTGAGCTGTGGCAGCTTGCAAGACGCCCACCTCCTGCCATATCGGCTGGGTCGGCTATCTCTGCAGCCTCCGACAACGCAGAGAGGCTCCCATCTACCGATTTGAGCTTTCGAGGTGTTGCAAATGCCGTGGTGAATCCAAGAGTTACTTAGCAAAGCACCAAGCTTCTGCTGAATCCCTAGTCACTACATTTCAGTCGACTCTCTGGTTGGTTTCTGGCACACCCTGGTTCCCGTCTCAGCAACAAGGGCTCGGAATTGGACTGCGACGTCCTAACTGTCGCGGCCAGCAACCCACCTGTTTCGGCGCTGGTGGCACCAGGCTGTCTATCGACAGTGGTGGCGGCCGCAGGGCACCTCCGCGGGGAGAGTTCCGAAGACTGTGGGCTGTAAGGGTGCAAACCGGCCGGTCAGGTATGCTTTACAGGTCCGGTGCACTAAGCACTCGGGCTTTTCTCAAACGTAACAGCCCTGCCGGTTCATAACACCCAACAAAGATCCACATCTTCCGCAACATGATCGTGCATCACAGCCGCACCTGACACGTTGGGGCGAAACAAGCCCCAAAACAAAAGGAAACACTCGATTGCAATCCCCGAATTTCCCCGCGAAACCTTTGCAAGTGCAGAAGGGTTTTGGCTCTCCATCTTTGCCACGCGGGTGCCTACGCCCATGGGGGCGCGAACTTGCTTCGAGCCCGCTTGAGCCGCCTCACAACTGAAGCTTTGGGGGCCTTGACACTTAAGTATCCCTTTGGGGCGGGTTCCTATGAAAACACGGGGCCGTGTATTTAGAAGACTAAAAATGCAGTATGCTAGATGGGGCTCGAAACTGCCAGAACAGCAAAAATCGGGGGCACATTGGACTCCAACCACGCAATAGCCCCCCATGCGTCCTAGTTATACCAACAACAAACGCGCCGAAAATCATTCGCATACCTACAAGTGTGTGGAGTGGATTCTTGTTCGCCACCCTAACCCTAACCCCCCCAAACCCCAAACCCCAAACCCCAAACCCTAAACCCTAAACCCTGAACCCTAACCCCCCCCTCCCGACCCCCGAAACCCTGTAACCCTTGCCTGGTGCAGCGCCTTCGCGGGCCGCAAGGCCGACGTCACAAGCCGCCCTCAGAACCAGACAACTTGGAGGTTCAAGGCGGTTTCGGGTTTACCATGCTCGCGCGGATGCGCTGGGCCGGGCCGAGGCGGGTCGCGTAGCGTTAAAATCACCCTTTAGTGAGAGACACATGGACTTCCAGGGATGGAATTGTGCAGGGCAGTGGGTTCAGAGCTTGGGGGGCTGCAGGGTTTCGAGTCTCAGGGACTGATGGGTCTAGAAGCCAGATCTAATCGTCGTAGTCGTCCACATCATCTCTTTGGCCCTGGGAGAGACAGAGCGATAGAAAGAGACAGAGAGAGAGGCAGAGGGAGCGCAACTATTAAACTTACGCGCCCACCTCAAACCTTGATTGGAAATCGCCTGCAAATACCATACTTCTGTGGAGATCCTTGTATCTCAGAGTGCCGACATGGCCCTGAATGCACCCGTAAACGCAAGAGCCCCTGAATCCCGAACCGAAAGAGAAATCCCAGGAGGCCCAAACCCAAAATCAGAACCGACCGGCTCGGTTTCCAGCGCTCGGGGCTCGCCGTGACTTCGGAGCCTGACAGGTCTTTAGGTTCAGGGCGCTTTAAAGCACTAGAAGCTTTTACTATGAAGTTGCAGGGTAGGGCTTCGGGTTTAAGCATAGGGCATCTTAAAGTTTCAGGGGTTAGGGTTTGCAGTTTGCGCATGCCGGTTCAGGATGTGGGCTCTGAGTGGCAGAGTTATTACGGATATCAGGGCTTTCGGGACATCCGATTGGGGCGTACAAGAGTTTGAAGGAGTTTGGCAGTTCTCTTGCTACGGTCCCTCTGTGTATACTCTCAATGTAAAGTGCCACAATAAAATAAAAACAAACTGTAATTCAAGAGCTCCCTCATTTTAATTTGGTTTTAGATTTCTTTTGAGTGCATAAGCTCGAGCTGAACGGGAGTTTTGCACTAAGTCTGTCAGGAAGTTTAGGGTTTAGGGCTTTGGGGCTTCTAGAATCTGCGACCCTGCACCTGGCTACCGTGAAGGATCAAACATTGATAAGGACCAAGCAGGAACAATCTTCGCCATATCTGGGTTGGGAGCTGCGCTCGCGCCACAGCCGCATGCAATTGTTTGACTCAGCAAGCGTAGCCCACCCTACGCTTGAAGCCATGAACCGCCAGAGTCTCGTGGTTTTCTTGGCCGGAAAATTGTGCCTCGCCACACATGTCCTTTCCCCGGAGTCTCGTGCAGCTCAGAGTTCAGGCATAACTTCCCTTTGTAGGTTTCTGGGTCCATGTGTGTAGGATTTCTGCTTCAGACTGCTGGCTCGGGTGTCACATTCAGGGATGAGGACGGAAGGCTCATCGTCTACAGTGCCGGGTCGAGCCAGACACTTTCACGAGAGCATGTAAGCGTTAATCGAGCATGTAATCACCAATCCTCTTGAGATATGTTCTTTTCCTTCTTCCTTTCCTCCCTTCCATCCTTCTTACCTTCCCTTCTTCTTGCCTTCGCTTCTTGTATCCCTACCCACATGCCAATTCAAGTGCTGCGTTATTCCGTGCTATTCCTACGTCCAGCCCTAAGCCACCTCAGCCCTGAACGATCGCCAACCCTGAGCCGGCCTATGCCACCTGACGCACCCCCGCCGGACTGCCGTGGTGCCGACGGGGCCTCTGCAGGGGTTGGGGGTGTGGAGTTGAGGCCTTTGGCACTTAGGCTTCAGGCTCTAGGCTGCTACGTGGGCCACAAAAAACTGCACAGGTCATACCTGGAGTGCGGATGAAGGGATGTTGCGGGTGCCTGCGTCGACCTGAGAACCCATGGCATCTCGAAGATCACGAAACCTCCCAGACCTCTTGGCCAGAGTCCCATAACACAAGTTTTCTCGTGAGCGGCCCATGTAGGCCTCGGTCGTCCCAGACGAAGGGATCACAACCTGTCAAGGCCCGCCCTCCGGCCCACAAAACTCTGAAGATCTGAAACCGCAGTTCCTTAGTTCACTGTGGGTCGACTCGGTCGAAGTCGGGCGTTTTGTTTCGTTGCTGAGGGAACGGGCAGGGTTTGGGGCTGAGGCTTGGGGATTTCGGCGCTCAACATGACCCCTTCCTGGAGTAGGTCCTGCCTTAGTCGAGCTAAGGGTTTCAGGGGTTTGTGGATGCAGGGTCTCCAATGCCAAAGGAAGCAGCGTTGGAAGCACTTAGGCAGCCTCTCCTGGGGCGATGAAAAGCAGCCAAAACGAGCCAAAGACTTCCCTAAACCCCGAACGCCTGCTGCAAACGAAGTGAACCTAAACCGTCCGCACCTTGCGCTTTGGCGCCAGTTCCGCATCGAGACGGTCGGCTAAGATGGGCGCTTCCTGCACCACAGGCCTTGGAGTTCGGGCGTATGGTCTACTAGGGTTTGGGGTGACCTGCAGTTAGAGATGAAAGCTTAAGGGTGTGGGGGGGGGGGGGGGGGGGGGAGTGTTTCATTCTGCATGCCTCTGGACACAGGGGAGTTTGCAGGAATTTTATGAAACCTCGAGCGCAAGCTGGCTTCTTCCACTGGTAGGATCCGCGCCGCGGTTTGGTTTCTTGGCTTTATATGGCTTGTCTCTTGCTGAATTCACCCTTGTCAGGGTTGCGGTTGGCAGGGTTGCCGTTGTCACGTGCTTCGTCCACCTCAGGCCCTGAAGCAAAAAGACTCAGCCTAAACCCAGCAACCCAACAAAAGTTTTTAGAAGCAAGCCCTCGAAACCTTAAAGAGCTCTACCACCACGCTGGCTAGCCGCGGCTAGCCAAAGAACTCCAGGCCCTAAACCCCAAGCCCCTACTTGGAGGTTCAGGGTATTTCATAGCCGGCAATTCATAGCCAAAGCGTAACTGCAGGTATCACCCAATTATGAGGGCTACCGAATCCTGTGATGTGGTGATACTTGGGTCAACAGCACGATTACAGCTTGTAGCCAACCATCAACCTCCAAACCCGACTCCCCTACAACACGCCGAGCCACACTTTGCCCCCCTTGCCACGGTGAGAGCCGCTCCCTTCCAGCACGGGGGGACGCGGGAGGGGTTCGGAGGGTCAGGGCTCAGGGCTTAGGAGTCGGGACTTGTTCGGGGGTGCAGGGCTTTTTGCTGCTGCGGACAGCCATCAAGCGATAGACCCTGAACCCTGAAACCTTGGAACCCCCTAGGCCCTCCCCTAAAAACCCCAACCCCCAGTCCCTAAACCTTGAAACCCCAAAAACTACCCCAAGCAAGATGTCGGGTTCGCGGCATCGGCGAAGGATCGCCCCCGACAGCCGGACCTCAAGGGGGGCACGCAAGAAGGTTTGGGGCTGCGGGGCTTCAGGGTTCAAAAGGGGCTTGGGTTTCGTAGAGCGTGTAGGGTTTGGAGTTTTTGGGTTCAGGGCTCAGATGGGCTCAGCGCCCCTTGAAGTACTCTCAGGGTCTTGTTGGGGGGCATGAGAGTTGAGGGGCATCTAAGCCCCACAAAGACACAAAGCAAAGAACCTGCAAAGACTCCAAGCCCAAACCGCAAAACCCTGAAACCATAGAACCCCTGGGCGCCACGGCTGCCCATGGACGCATTGAAGGGCCCACGGCACAGCGGCTCCGAGCCGAACGTCCACGCCGGAAACTTCTAGACAAGGGGGACTTGGTAGGGTTTAGGGCTCAGGGCTTCAAAGCGGGGTAGGGAATGAGGGAATGAGGTGCCTTTTATAATCTAAAGGGTATTTAGAACCCTAATCATTCCCTGCTCAGAACCAGGGGGTGGTGTCTTGAAGCATAAAAGCACCTCAGGCACACTGCGGTGTTTTTTTTCGTTCAGGCCGTGCCAATGCCAGCACACAGCTGGCGACAGCTTGGAACAATTCCAGGTGCCCTGCTCCACTCCAAACCAAAAACATGGATATCAAACAGACAAACAGGCACCTCAACCACAATCCCTAAAGCATTCATTCTCATATTGAGTAGTTCGTACGGCCTACGCCTTAAATGAGAGGAACCCTTCCTAACCAAGAATTGTAGGAACGTTTAGCAGGAACACAGGGGTACTCAGGCCCCCCTGGAAATCGCTGGCTCTGGAATGGAAATGGGCGGCCCAGACCAGGAGGTGAAGCGGCAAACGGATGGCATTCTGAAATGGAGGAATTTAAGCCTCTGAAAGGGTAGAACCCTTGAAGGTCCTGTGGGGTTTATAGGGCTTTCAGGACTCAGATTCGGATGCGAAGTCATGTGCAGATGCCACGCACTTTCCGGAGATTTCAGTAAAGCGATTCGTCTCCACGCCTTGCCACCGTCAGGCCGCTTGTCCTCCTGGCAATCAGCTCGAGAACCCAAAGCGAGAACCATCGCAACCTTGAAGCCCAACATCCAGAGACAACAAAACTTCGCCCTGCGCTGGGTTGCAAACCGTGCCTTCAAGCCCCAAGGAGCAAAAACGAACCCCGGACCCTAAGAATCACCGTCATTTGAACCCTCAACCCGTCTTATCACTGTGCAGGAAAGCAGCGAGGTCATCTTCCTCCTGAAGTTCGCGTCCATCGTCTTCTTCACGATCACTGGTATGCCTAGGGCTGTGTCTGCGCTCAAGCAGGGAGGTGCGGAACAGAGGGTGAATAATTCAGGCAAGATGCGCGTGTTGGGAGGCATGCCGCAATTCCTGGGTTTAGGGTTTGGAGTTTAGGGTTTAGGGATGAGGCATTAGGGTTTTGAGTTTAGGGTTTCGAGTTGCGGGCTTGGGGGGAGGGGGAGGGGGGGGCGATGGGTAAAAGAGGTTAGGAGTTAAGTTTTTCACTGAGAGATCCCAAACAATGAATCCAAGCCTAATTCCCACTTGAGTCCCCACCGCACAGTGTCTCGTTCTGAGCTGCTAGGCGCTAAAGGATAAGTTCTCAGACTTTGCGGCTTTAAGAGTTAGCGCCATTTAGAGTTGAGCGTCCTTGAAGCCTCGGGCCGGTGCAAAATGGTGTCTTGCCGAACTACCCGCCTCCCGCGATGAACTGGCCCTTGAACAGGGCACCATTTAGCCTAATCGACAGAAAACACGTCGTAGATTGGAGCGCAGCAGGACTCACCACGAGATACGCGGTGTGCACCTAGATGGATCTGAACTTGGGTAGCGTAGCGTCTTCTGCGCTCGGCTGGCTCCGGTTGGCTTCGTTTTGAGTACGTTGGATGGGCATGTCCGCACACTGCTGCGCGCTTACTGCAAACTCGACACCCTGAACCCTTAACCCCCAAAACACCTAACCCCCTAACCCTAAACCCTCCATGAGCCACAAGGGCGGAGGAGGCTTCAACAACCGAGCGTCTTGAAGACCCAGAGTCTTCTGTTGTCTGCTGAGACGAGGCCGGCCCCTTAGTGCAAACTAAGAAAGCTGCCGTCAGAAGACACAAGAACACTCAAGTCAACAACCCCCCCAAGGTCCCTCAAAATCTCTCAAAACCCCTGGAAACCCCAACCCTGTCTCAGGGTTCCCATCCCAACACAGCCCAGCTGGCCTTGGGCCACCACGGAGATCGCGGGAATGTCAGTGAGCTTTACCGATCCTGTTTTGGAGCAACTTTGTTCTTTACCCTCAGCGAAGCCGCAATGAGCCATCCTGCTTGGAAGGTAAGGGCCTCGCAGCCTACTCTAAACTCAGCAGTTCCGCCCCGACCAACAGCCCGTAAGCTGCAAAAAAGCCAGTTCTTCCCGCATTTGAGCCCGCACTAGCAAAGCGCATCCAGCCTTCCGAGAGGCTCTTGCGTGTCTCCCGCAGTTCCCTCTTCTTGTCGTTGAACCTTCCCATGATGGAGTCCTCCAGATGCACACTCGGAGGAAAGCACCAAAGGTGCAGCCACTCGTGGAGGGGGTGGTCGTGGGATGGCTGAGGCTACCAAATTTAAACAGCCTTCCTCAGGATTTAGCGCAAGCCATGCTCAAAGAACCACCTCAGAAACCAAGCCGAACCCCAGATTCTCAAACCAGCTAAACCTTCTGTTCCCAGGGCCTGGAGCTCATCATCTGGGCTTCGGGGCTTCAGAGTGAGGACTGATGTTGGGCAAGAGACCCTAAACCATACGGAAGCCTAACGAAGCCCTGCTCCTGAGAGTAGATCAGGGACTTCAAGAGGACCTCCTTGAGCTCGCCTTCCTGTCATGAGCTTTGGGCAGTTGAGTCATGAGCTTGAGGCCGCTGGGCGGAACGCAAGCGAGGATGGCAGCGTTCTTTGTGTAATGACCCCCCTTTCCGCATGCTGCCCAAGCCTGAAGAAACAAAAAGCCTGCTGAAGTCGTACACACTGGGGGAAAGTGAACGAAGCCTCGCCAGGCGACTTACTCCTGAGCGTAACAATCTGCCCAAGGCTCAAGCCTACATTCAAACTGCTGTACCACATGAGCCGTCTGGCTGTGGGCGTCAAGCGTCAGAGACTGGGGCTTTCGGCATCGCACCGAGGATCCCCATTGCAAAAAGCTGCAATCAAGCTGTAGATTGGCAGCCCTTCTCCAAATTCGTATACATCCTCAAGCCTACATTTCTAAACCCCGCGCCTTCATGCTCCGTGGGGGTGCATCCATTCTTAGAGGCTGTCCAATCTTGAGCGTTCAATGCTTCATCTTGACATTAAAAACACAACAAGGACCTTCAAAGTGTTTAGAGCCCTTCTGAGATGATTACACACAGAATTTACAGGTTTAGGGCTTAGGGGGCTCCGGACACCGGCCTTGCCTTGGCATTCTTCACTGCCCGTATCCGCCGCAGCTCGGCGGCAGCGATTGCACCGTCTCGCCGAGCCTTTGGGTGTTCTGGGTTTCGTGGGCCCAGGCCACGGTAAACAACTGAAACCCCGGTGCCCATGCTTGAGCTTAAAGACCCCGCATACTCTGAGATCTCCCGAACCATCGGTGCATGTGGGGATGTTTGGGTGTAGGTTTCGGGGCATGCCCATGACCATGGTCCACAGACAAAACCCGCAGATGCACTCTACTCGAAAACGCAGAAATGCGGCTTCTGTATACAAGACAACGCACGTTCATGCTACTCAATACGCGGATTCGTGCCACGCGCTAAGCCCTAAACTGGTGGCGTGTATCTGAAAGACTCGTGTGACAGGGTTCCTTCATCATCACTCATATTCTGACCCCCTCCCATACAAGGGATCCTAAATCAGCAATAACTTAATAGGTTCCTTTGGTAACTTTTTTTTGTGGGGGTTTCAGATTACCGAAGAAAGTCCTCGGCCCTTCGCAGCTGGGGCTCGGACTGGCGTCAGAATCACAGCGCGGGCCCGGCTTCGGTGCACTGACGAGGAAGGCCCAGGGTGTATGGGACAAGTGTGGGCTGCAGGGGCCTTTGGGGCTTCTAGGGCTGAACGGTGCCGCAGGGTTTGATGGTTGCAGGCTGCGGAGAAAAAGGCAAGATGCCGCTGTATATCATGATGGCTGGTACTACTTGACACTTGATTCAGTTACCCACAACCAGGTCCGCGGCCCGTACCCGCCCGTGGAACTAAGCTAGAGCAACATGCACGAAACAGTTGCAAGGGTTTCGCTTCAAACTACTTGTTGCTTGTTCCTGTTTCTGTCTCTGTCGAGCCGTCGGACCTGTGTGGCCCCGCTTTCCCCCAACAAGCCGTAGGAAGTACAAGAGAGCAACAATGCTGTAAATGCCTGTGTTTTGGGCATGATCACAAACGCATGAATGCTTGTGAAAGCAAGTCTTGCTCCAGAAACGTCAAACATCTTTGTGCAGGGGCATGGTTGACAGTGATGAACAGACGTGACTATCGCCTCCCCACCTGCCTCCCTTCCCTTCCCTTTTCCAAAAGGAAAAACTACGGGAAACACCACAACCGACTACCTCTGCTTCACTCATGCAGGATCGACCCTTCAACCTGTAGCCCATGTCTCCACCTGGAGCAGCTGGCATCTGCACCTGCTCCTGCTGCGAGGCCGCTGCACTTCGAAAAGCAGGTTCTTTGCGTTTTGGGTGTCAAGTCCACCCTGGCCTGAAGCACAAACCGTAGCGAACCCAATTCTGTGGGCTAGTCATAGGGGCTGGGTTGAGGGTTGCGTCCCCAAGTTGCAAGAGGGCTCGGCATGTTTCGGACACTCCTGCGCCGCGTAGACAGCCTCCTCGCCTTCGCTTTGCGAGGACCTCACGAACTATCCGGGTGTGGGGAGCGTTTGGATTTTGATGGATTTGGTGAGTTTAGTGCTTAATGGCCTCGTTGGTGCATTGCCAGGTTCTAGGCTGGACCTTGGGGGAAGTACCTGGGATGCTACATGACTGGAAAACCCAACTGTACACTCTGAAACGCTTCTGTCTCAGCCCTGTCGGGATCCTGGGTGGGGGAGTAAGCCTGGGAAGCCTCCCGGGAAGCCCCGGCCAAGGACATTGTCCTTGGCACTCTTGCGCCTGAGCAAGCCTATCCTAGGAAACAGTACCAGGCTTTTCTCGCTGAGGTTCTGGGAAAGACACGAGAAGAAAAATGTCAGTCTGTGGCTGCTATGACTGCGACCAAGGTGGGGGCTTTGTGGAGTTGTGGCAAGGACGCAAGTGACTTCTTGATTCAGGCTTGGCCCCGAGGCCATCCCCGTAAAACACTGAAGGAAGCAGTCCTGAAATTGCAACGGCACAATAACATTTGCCTCACATTGCCCCGATGCCGAGCCCGTTATCTACATACCAAACGCAATCCTGAACACTTAACATCCAGGACACGTAGGTCGTAAAGCCCTCATGTTTCATGTCTCAGGCTTAAGCCACCCTTTCCTTCCCCCCCCCCCCGGCACCCGCTGGCTCAGCAAAGCCACTCCTCTTCCTCGGCCTCCTCGGCCTGCGCCTCCTCCGCCTGCGCTTCCTCGCCCGCCTGTGCCTCCTCCCCCGCCTGCGCATCACCTGTGCAAGCCGGAGGGAGAGAGAGAGAGAGAGAGAGAGAGAGAGAGAGAGAGAGAGAGAGAGAGCGAGAGAGAGAAGAGTGAGAGAGTGAGAGAGTGAGAGAGTGAGAGAGAGTGAGAGAGAGTGAGAGAGTGAGAGAGAGAGAGTGAGAGAGAGTGAGAGAGAGTGAGAGAGAGGGAGAGAGGGCGAGAGTGAGAGAGTGAGAGAGAGGAAAGAGTGAGAGAGAGAGAGAGAGAGTGAGGCAAGCGGGAGAAAGCGGGAGAGAGCGAGCGAAATGCAAGAAGAACTAACCTCGACCTTCAACCCTCCTGTGGACACCCTCACACATTGCCAACATGGCTAACCCCTTCCATCTCACAGCTCTGGCCCCTGTGCGCTAAGTGCACGAGGACTAGAGCTCCAAGCCTTGGGGTTTCGGGCCCGGGGTCTGTTTTCCACTCTTCCCGAAACCCTGAGCTCTTTGCCCTGTCGTCCTAGGCTGCATCAGAGATCCCAGCTTTCAGCGCACAGCTTGATGCTTCAAGCCGAGTGTTGCAATATTTGCTGCCCTCATGGCGCTGAAGGTAAGAACGATGACGATGACCGCAACCAGTGCTGCTCTATACATCAGATGTACTCAGCCGCGAGGACGAGGTTACGGAGGGGAAACTGCCGATGACATACTTCGGGTACCAGTCACAGTACAGCAAGACTCGCAGTTCACAGCGGAATTTGTGAAGAACTTGTTGTCGTGCGCACGGCGCCGTTGAAAGACCTGTCCCGCCTTGCGGCTCAGGTTGCCCGGGCGGGGCGTCGGCTGCAGGCTGGGCTTCCTCTTGCGGGGTGTTTTTGTGTGTTTGGGCCGGGGGGAAGTTTCTCCAAAGGCGCCTGAAAGGCCCTCACTTCTGAGCCTTGAAGCCTTGAAGCCTTGAGGCCTTGAGGCCTTGAGGCCTTGAGGCCTTGAGGCCTTGAGGCCTTGAGGCCTTGAGGCCTTGAGGCCTTGAGGCCTTGAGGCCTTGAGGCCTTGAGGCCTTGAGGCCTTGAGGCCTTGAGGCCTTGAGGCCTTGAGGCCTTGAGGTTCTCAAGCCAGCTACACCCATGCTACACCCACCCCCCAAAAGGTCCTTCGGAGCTTCCTTAGACCCCGAGCTGCTGGCGGCATCCTGCATTGGTCTTCTGGGAGAAAAAAAACGTAGAAAAGCGCACAGGCTTTTTGGATGGTTTTGGGCGTTGGCTTTGGGGCATCTGCTTTTGGAGCTTCGGGCTGGAAGTTTGCCACGTTCTTGGGAACTGGTGGAACTGCCTGATCAGGCGATGAAGCTTGCGCCGCTGTTGCCGCTTCCGCCGCCGGCGCCGGGGTCGTCGCTTCTGCCTTCACGGTCGAAGAAGCTGAGGACTGCGGCGCCTGCTCTGCGGGATGTGGAGCTGGGGGGGGGGGGGGGGGGGGGGGGGGGGGGGGGCAAAAAATCAAAGACTTCGGGATGCTCAGGGCTTTGATTTCGCCCCCTTTTTCAATGGGGATCTTTTCTGAACCTGTGGTTCACCCCCCAGGTTCTGTTCTACGCGACTCGGTACTGGCTCAGAGGAACACCTAGATGTATGTCACAAGCTGAAGCTGAAGGGGTTCGACTTGCTACTTTTGGTGGAATCTGAGTACTGGCCTGTGAAGCCGACGAAGATGCTGTCGCTTTCCCAGACGCAGAAGACTTTGGTGGCCCCGCCTTTGTGGAGTCTGAGGTCTCGGGGCCACTCTAGGCTTCAGGCCTTCTGAACTGACATGAAGAAACTGAGAAAGTGGGTCATGAACACTTGGGCTCAACGCAGAACCCCAAACGACAGCATGAACGCATCGGTTGTCGACGACCTTTCTTCAACGCATTTTCCGACCTTGAAGAAGACTGTCCGAATCCGAAGGAGTCAGAGTTTGAAGGACCCAATCCCTAAACACCTAGTTCTGCGCGACAAGACTCCTGCACGTCACCTCCCACTGCGATGTTCCTTCGCTGAGGAGTTGGGAATCCGATTCCGGCGGATTCAATCTCAACCCTGGGCCAGAAACTACCAAAAGTCTACAGCCCCAGGCCCCAAAGCCCAAAAAATGAAAGACCGAAACCTCCTTTCCTCATCGGCTTCCTCCAAAAAAGCGAAGCACCTCAGATCCTGGAGGGAAAACCCCCCCCCTCCTCAAAAAATGAAAAAAACGAAAAAGAGTCCTAAACCCTAAACCCTGAACCCTAAACCCTAAGCCCTAAACCCTAAACCCTCTTAAAACTACAAAGGCCCTCAGAGGCCCGGCCGGGAGTCGGCGTCGAGAGCTCCGCGGCGTCCAGCCGCCGACGCTTGCGCTCGAACTCGCGCTTCCTGGCATCCTCGGAGGTCTCTTGAGGTTTAGGGTTTACATAGAAATTGTATAGGGTTTGTGTCCGGGGTTTTGACAGGGTTTTGACGGGGTTTTGACGGGTTTTGACGGGTTTTGACGGGGTTTTGACCGGTTTTTTCTTTTGCTTTTGAATAACATTCCAATGGCTTTCCAGGCTTAGGGAGGCGGGGGGGGAGGTGGGGAGGTGGGGGGGGGGGAGGGGTGGAGAGGGGTTGTGGGGGAGAGGCGGGGGTGGAGAAGTGGGGGTGTGGTTTAATGGGGAGGGGGGGGCTGGGGTTTCGTCTTGGATCCCTAAGCCCTAAGCCTCTCCCCGAAGTACCTGATGGAGGGATTGGGCTGGGGGGTGGCGGGGTTGGGTAAATGGGGTCGAAATTGGAAATTCAAATTGACACACAAACAATTTCTGTTTATCCTGGTCTTTAGGGTTTAGGGTTTAGGGTTTAGGGTTTAGGGTTTAGGGTTTAGGGTTTAGGGTTTAGGGTTTAGGGTTTTAGGGTTTTAGGGTTTAGGGTTAGGGACTCCCTTCAGTTGTCTCAGCTCTCTCACGGGACTTCACGGGGACTTGCGAGCTGAGGTGTGGAGATGGAGACCCTCCCCCTCCCCCGGCCCCGACAAAACTACCGGAACACTGGCGCCCCACTCAACTTTCCATCCAAAGGGGCGGCGTCTTCGGCATCTGCGGCGGGCTTCTCGTCGCCATCTCCGGGCTCGTAGATGGCAGTGAAGACTGGATTTGGAGTCACCCAATCCTCCGCTGATCAGGGCTTCATTAGGGGGCATTTTGGGTGCTGAAATAGCCCTGCTTCAGTCCACTTCTTTCAGGTCAACACCCTCCTCAACCCAAAAAAGACGCAACATGCGCAACGTAACCCGAAAACGCGCACTTTCCGGGTCCTGCTTCAACAAGTCCATCAGGTGCCCTTGCCGAGGGCTGGGGCTTTCAGGGGGCTCTTGGTGGCTTCAGGGCGCTTCGAGTTTTGGGGCCTACTGGGGTCTTTGGGGCTTTCAGGGTTCCTGGTGTTGTTGGGCTGAACAATTTTAGCTGTTTGGGCAAGGAACTTGGGAGGTGACAGAACGTTGCGCGTGATGCTTGCGTTGGCGGCTTAGTATGTCGGAGTTCGTTAGAGCCTAGGAGCCTAGATGTGCGGTGTGAGCCAATTTGAGCTTTACGGAAGATGGGCCAAGGTGCCTAGGAGAGCTTAGGAAAGCTTAGTATGCAGCACAGGACTCAACAATTGTTTAATGGGCTGGGCTGTGGGCATCCGCTGCCTTTCAGCTCGTGCTGTCCTTGCTCGTTCAAGGGCGGCAGGTCATCCAGATCCTCAGCTCGCATGAAACGATTACTTCATCGGCTCCATTGGTGGATTCTGTGCCTATTTATAATTATTCATACCAACCTGCCGTCAGAGTCCAGCATTAAACGACACTTAACTGCCTCTATCTAGTCGGCCGGCCAACCCTGGAAAACCTTGGTCTGATGACGATCGCAGGCTGTAAAGGACTCCTGTCATTGGAATCAGCCTTCCAAGAATCCATGTGAAGCACATCTTCAAACCAACTCCAAGCTACGGTAAGCCCTTAAACCTCTCAACTGAGCCCCTAATCCTGAGCCCCTAAGCCCCTACATCCCAAATCGCCTTCCAAAAGGGTCCAACCCCCTGAGCGCGCTGCGTTTCTGGGATCCAGAGCCTCTTGCAGCGTGCAGAAACGCTTCATCCGCGCAGGAGGCGCCGGAGTCGGCGCAGGCCATCCTGGCATGAGCAGGCTCGGGGAATGTAGGGGTCTCTCGCATTTTAAGACAAGTTTCTCAAGGTTCAAGGATTCGGCTCCTTTGGTTGCCTGTTAGTTGTCACGCCATCTCGTACAATGAGGTAGGCCCTGGCATTCCCTTGGCAAAAAAGAAGCTGGCTGAACAAAGCAAGACGCATGGGAGGAGGGGGAGGAGCCCTTTGTTCGACTTGAGCAGCCAAAAAAAATATCTTCTTGCTGCAAATTCTAGCTTTTCATGTACATACTGAAGACTTGAAAAACAGCTTTTGCCCAGCACCCTCCCTGCGACCCAAGCATACTAAACTGCTTCCACATTCCACAATCCCCCAACCCTTCCACAACCTCCCAACCCTAGCAACCTTAGCCTCCTCATCCCTGAGCCCACAGAGCATCCACGCGGCCAAATCTCGCCTGGTTGGGGGGCTTGCCATTGGCCGTAGCCCCATGGCATACCTGTGGACAAGCACCACCGACGTTTCATGGCAAAGGGGCTTGGGCTTCCGGACTATTGGGCCGCCTAGATCTGCACAGAAAGGCAGGAGGTGAGTGTGTGGGCCTCGTAGCCGGGACAGCTAAAACATGTCGGCCGTGTAGGTTCATTCCTGTACAGTACCTGAGACTACAGCCTAAACTTGCGACAATTATACCAGCGAAGACCCCAAACAGGATGTGTCGAACCGGAGCGCTTCAAGTTGTTTGGAACCCGCCCATGTGGCTTTGAGGAGCAGCAAATTCAGGAGGTCGAGATACAAGAGGCGCGCTGCCTGCTGCACGGAAAGACTGGAAAATCTACCGCGCCTGAATCTTACGGCGCTTGCCCCGAATCTAGCGCAAACAAGAACAACCTTTTTTCGCAGCGAGAGGACATTGAGAGCTTGCTCGAGAGACAAGATACCCGCGTGCGTGCTAAGGAAGATGGATACAAGAGACGCGTTGGCTGTCGCATGCTGTCGCACGGGAAAAAACAGCAGAGCAGACCAAAAGCATGATTCCACATGACTCGAGAACGGGTGGTTGGGAACCATGCTTTGTCTTTGCTTGAGCAGATCCTGCGCTTCTTTTTAAATACGAAACAACTAATAGGTTGTCTGAACGGCCATCTTGAGCCGTAGCACTGCCCACACGCGACCATGGCAGATGCATGCTAAGTAGGACGCTTGCTTACCTTTGTACACAATCCAAGCGCAAAGCTAGCGCTGTACAAGCGCCACAGAGGTTCTTAAGGAACTGTACTTGTGTACTTGTGGGGGGGTGGGGGCGGGGGGGGGCGACTGATATATTCGTGGGTGTGCCTTTCTACTAAACAATCCAACCAGGAATTGTTGAGAGCTCACCAAGGAATTGTCGTCCAAGGCACCGGGGAACGGAGCCCACGCGTGGGGAGGCATCTGGGCCGTTCAGCTCCAAGGAGGGGCCGTGCATTTGTGTTTCGGGTTCTTTGGGGGTTTAGGGTTTGGGGGTTGAGGTTCCAGGGTTTAGGGTTTAGGGGTTTGAGGGTTTTGAGGGTTTCGGACCCTTTTGGCGGGGTTGGAGTTGAGGCTTTTCGGGCTCTGGCGACCGAAAAGCCTTGGCCCGAAATCCTGAGGTCTTAACCCTGAGGAGCTGGAAGGGCCTGAGAACAAAAGCGGAAGACTCAGTGGAAGTTCTGACCACATGTGCAGCTAAGAACGACTTCGAGGTTCAACTTCGTACATGCGCGGATTGCCCTCTCAATTTCAGGGCTGAGTGGGGGAAGAAGTTGAGGAGAAGTCCTGAATCAACAATGAAGAGAAGTCGGATTCTCAAGAACAAACCTGAAAACCTCAACCGCCCGAAGCCCTAAAGCCTGCGGCCAATGTGCTGCGAACATGTTGCCAAGTGGAACGGAGGAGGCACCTGCACGGCCACAACCTCCTAAACCACCTCAACCCCACAGTGCTTCGGGCCGAGGGCTAGTTGAGTTTAGGGATCCAACAACTATAGAAGCAGAACTCAAAAAGAAGTGACGTCTGTCACGTAGTTTCGTCACGAATTCACATGCCCATGCGATGCTGGAATAAGCTGTAATTCAGGAGCGTCCAGAACACCGCAAGGCTCGGGAGCCGGTCAACGGGGGCCCTCGAATTTCGTCAAGCTTAGGAGGTTACGGGAGGTGGGAGAGGGGGGTGGGATTTGTGGGGGGTGGCTATGGGTGAAACTTCTGGGTGCAGAGTCCGTGGCATTTTGCTCGGGCTTCCTGAAGCCCCCGGGTGAATTTGGAATGGGGGGTTCACCATTGCGTTCATCTGCGAAATGCTTCGGTGCGAGGGTTGTTGAGTTAGGAATCCTCGAATCGTTTGGCCTTCCAAAGCCATGAAACAGACAACAGCTATAGCAGCAAAAACTCAACAAAAAGTGACGACCGTCACGGCTAAACCCTAAACCGCCTAAACCCTAAACCCTGCTATTGTGTTCATATCTTCTATGTCCTGCGTCTCCATGTGTGCCCATAGTTCACATGCTCTCCGAGACCACCTTCAAGAGCAAGTTTGGGGAATTTTTGAGGATCTTAGGGACTTTTCAAAGCCTTTGAGGCCGTTTAAAGCCTTTAAGGGCTTAGGGTTTGCCGCTGGGCGCTGAGTCTTCCCTGTTCAGCCTTCTCGTAACCTAGCAGAAGCCACCCCGAGACCCTGAAGGTGGTGAAAACGCAAGCTGAGCAGATCGCAGCAGCCCAGGAACCCTCCGCCCTCCAGCCAGTTTCACGGTTCAGGATTTCGGGGGGGCACATTGGGTCTTAGGCTCCTCCCTCGCCTGGGAAGACGCTGGGTGCTCGCCGGGGGGCAGTCACTGGAGATCGTTGGAGCCACTGCTACGGCTGCAGCAACGCCCTGGCTTTCAAAGGCTTTCAGAGGTCTTTAGGTCTCCAGCTGGCGAAACAAAAAGGAAGCGCGGGTCCAACCCGGGTTTCGTGCACATGGGCACAGGATGCTTGGGGACACTTTAGGGATCATCAAAAGCAGGGACTGAAGAAATGAGTTTAGGATGGCAAGGATGCACTTTTAAGGTCACCCCTGATGTCACCTGTCTGGCAGCTGTGAGCTTGCCACCCACCAGTTGATGTGGGGGTCACTTCAGGGATCAGAATGTGTGCGAGTGGAACATGTCAGAAGGTGGGGACAAAGCACAGCACCTCCCGCAGGTCCATGGACCCTTTGTGCCACACATGTGTGCGATCCTTCAGCTTAGCACAACAGATGTGTGCGATCCTTCAGTTTAGCACAGGGCGTGACATGCCTCACTCTTGAGTGTGCCCTTTGAACCACTGCTACGAGAGCAAGAGAAGCTGCACACCGCTCTCAGTGAAGAGGGATGATCGTGCAAAACCCGAAGTTTGCCCTCGGGTCGCATCTGACCTTCCCGAAAAACTGAGAGAAAAGACAACTTCCGAGTTGTCTCAAAATCGGGGAACCTTGCAATGCTTTGCAAATCCTAACTTAGAATAAGAACGAATCAAAGATGTCCTAAGTCTTTAAATTTCTCAAGGGTTGTTTAGCCAAAACAAACTTGCAAGATCTTGCAAGGATTTAAAGATTTAAAGGCTGTGCAGCACTCGCTCATGCCACACATGGAAGAGGCCGATTCCTGACTGGTGCAGGATGTAGCCAGCGAGGAAGGTCGCGGCAAAGCCCGCTATGTCTGAAGTGAACTTGTGGCGGATGAAGTAGGAGCACTGGAGTCGTTCCTAGCACGTTTGCTCTGGCTTGAAAGGACAGGCTTCCACATGCTATAGAAATGATGCGCATGTATTCAAGAAAACCTGTTGCGCTACCTGCATATTTCCATATCTATATCTTTTTCTATATGTCGATATACTATTTTGCTACAAGTGAATCAAACGCGCCATGTACATGACTCGATCAGAACTTGTTCATGTAAGTGCAATACAGTTGTAGATGTTAGCAAACAGAGTGTTCTGTTGGGTCTTGTAAGGCTGGCAAACCTTGGAAGTGCGCAAAAACGCAAACGTCAAAGAGTTTCTGCATGTCACCTCATCATCCTCGCTCACACACACACACACACACACACCACAAAGCATCTGGCTCCGGCCTTGTACTGCTTCACATCTCGTGAAAACTTCTCATCCTGGGCACTCGGCACGTTCAACGCATAGATGTCGCTGTGGACCACATGGTGGAGGGTATGCCATTGGATACAGGACTTGTGCGGCCACATCGTATGCACCACCACATTGGGGCCGGAGGAGGCTGCGTGGAAGAAGAAGTAGGGGACGCAGGCCAGGGTGTTGCAGAAGAACAAGGTCCCTCCTTCGATCCAAGGCTCCCAAAGTCCGGCGGCAGGCGTTGTCGGATAGGTTCCCTTGCAAATGTGGTGCTCCAAGTGGACCAGACGATAAAGGGGCTGCACCTCGTGGTAGAGCTTATGAAGCCATGCAAACTTGAACTGGACCATATGATGGAAGAACATGTGCTCCACAATGACTGCCACAAAGTGGATGTAGTGGAAGTGGCATCCCAAGCCCTCCTGTATCATGGCCAAGGCAGTTTGCACTTGCAAAACCACCGCCAGCTGGGAGGTGGTGTAGAGAATCTCCATCACCGCTTCGGAGAAACTCAGGCGGCCGGCATTGCCGGCATCCTTCCGTCCAAGCATCTCATAGACCAGGCGATGGCCTTCACACCACAAAGGCGTAGTGACCAACAGGACCAAACCTAAGCCATAAAGCAGGAGCATGGTGTGCTTCACTGATGTTTCGATGGTACTCATGGGAAAGGTCATGTATCCCTGCCAAGCAGATGGCAAGAACTTCTCCACTACAAGTAGTCCCATATAGCGGAGCGCCAACTGCGAGAAGGAAACCATTGCGATCCCCATCATCATCAACCAGTTGTTGAGCCAGCCAGCCACTACAGAGAAGGTCATTTGCAAGATTTTTGCTCGAAACAGGTAGAAGTAGTAGATGAACCCCATGATCAAGGTTGGGAGGAGGGAGTAAAGCGCGATAAAGCGCTGATATTCCATTGAGAAGCCTGCCCACCTGTTCAAGCACACAACAAGAAGTACGTAGGCCAGCACATTCAGCACCAAAGTTTGAGCTGTCGGACTTGGCACAAAGAGCTCTCCGACCTCCTTGCTGGCTTCTGTATGCTTCTCCCAGTTTTGGACCAAGTGGAAGATGGCGACTTTCCACCCGGCCACATAAGACTGAAAGAACTTGCCCAGCACAGGCAGCTCAAAGAAAATCGGGAAGATCATGGGCGAAGTTGGCCGTGTGTGGCCCTGAGCACCTCTTGAACTGCCTGGGGAGACCTTCTCAGCCGAAAAGCTGACGATCCAACAGAAATGAAAAGCTGCGCGCCTCTTTTCACAAGAAGACAAATAGATTCAAGACAGTGGCACTGTGTAGAACTACGTGCAAGTTCGAGATGAGATCAGACGCAATCAATCTTCAGCTTCGATCCTCCAATCTGTCCCTCCACTTGGAGGTTCATGGTACCTAGCAACCCAATAATGACTGCACTTATGACCCAACTATAACCCTGCTAGGGTACTTAAGGGGCTTACATGTGGGTTTTCACTGCATGTAAAATGGGTTGCTAACTAAGTACCCTGAACCTCCAAGCAAGATCTAGCCCCATGCATCCAAAGAGCAAACAAGCCTCCCTTCTCCACGGCCTTGACAAACTGCTCACACCTCAAAGAAACCAAATGGAACCAAACTGGTGACTCTAACGTCTGAGAACCGCGAAAGCCCTAAGCCTCCCAAGCCTTAAGCCGCCTCAAACGGTCTAGAGGGGGCCGGCGGCTCCTTGCAGAGTTTTCGGGCATCTATTCAGATCAGGGTCCACACACCCCCACACCCTGAACTCCCAAGCTGCCGTTTTTCTTCCCAAGTCGACACGCGATCACGCGCAGAGGCCACTTCAGCAGAGCTTCTTCAAAGCAACTGCAGCATGTGGCAAAGTTGGGCGCCCCGAAACCACGGCTCCTGAGGTCCCTCGGAGGAGTTGTGGGCATAGGGCCTGAGGGATTTTTCGCATCAGACCCTGAAACCATCAAATCCCGGAAGCCCGCCGAAGCTTCACGGCTGAGTCGCAGTGAGGTGGAGAAGGGCTTAGGCTTCAGGGTGTACCGTGGACAGAGGCCATGGCAGCTGATTCGTTGTGGTTTTGCAGCTCGCCCGAAACGTTTATCACCATGTGTCACTCAACACTCTGAAAGAAACCTCAGAGCCATGGTGGCGCACGTGATCGGAGGCATCCGATCGATCGACCACAGCATCCGCAGCGACATTGAATAACTGCTTGGGGTTAAGTACGTACAACGTGAGTCGCACATGCCGCCATTCTAAGAAGCCGCGGTCGATCCTCGTATCCGGTCTTGAATTCGTGCTGCTCTAGTGCTTCCAACTCAGCACTGCCTTGCGTGAGGAAGAAGAAAGCTTGAGTTTTGAATGGAGCTTCTTTCTCACACTTGTCATGCTGCCAGGCCAGGGCTTGGGCTTCCAGTAGCACCACAAGCAAGTACCTTACTTCTACGACTGCGACTCTGGGCTTTACGACTGCGACTCCTAGGCCTTTCTCTGCTCCCTCCTACTCAACGATAATGCTGTTGCTGCGTCTTGCTGCATCTTCTGCTGTCAGACTTCATTGGGAGGATTGCAACCACCACGGTCATGCAACTACCTCACCACGGCACTTACAATCGTCCTAGCCATGGCCTTGGAGAGGCCTAAGCTCAGCGCTCTGCATACCCGCAGCCTGCATTGGCCCGCCCCCCCTTTCACTGGATCAGTTCTCCGGCAAACTTCCGGATGAGGCCATCCTCAGCGGAGCGCCGCAGGTAACCCCGGCTTGAAAAAGGGGGTTGTTTCGGGTTCGGGCCACTTATTAAGGCTCTTGGGAGCTTACACCACCTTGAAAGCTTCAGAGCGTCGCTATGTGCGAAGGAGCGTGCAGCATACAGTTTACGCTCAACCACTAGATCACACAAGGCTCGTATCCGCATCTTAAAGTACTTCAACCAACAAACCACAGACTGTGAAACCCCAGTGTCCAGAGGCAGCATCTCATCCATGGACACGAGGTTGAACCTGCTCAGGCTCTGCAGTTTGGGCTTGCAGGTGTAGGCCATCGGGGTTGAGGTTAGAGGGTGGGATTCAGGGTTCGGTTCGAGGATTCTGTGGTGTAGTCTCTTGTTGGAGCTGTGGATGTTGAGAATTAGGACGTATCTTCTTTGGCACGAGGACCACGGCCGATACCCAGGCGAACAAACAGTGCAATTAAGACCACTTCAAAGAGCACTCCAAGAGCAGACTCAACGAGGGCAGCAACGAATGTTCTGCACTTCGCGAGGACATACCGGCAGACCCCGACTTGCAACCTCGCGACATGCAATATCTCCTTCGCGTGCAGTTGCGATGTTTTGGGTGCCGTCCTGCGCTTCCGTACTCTCCGGAGGGCACGGTGCCCAGGCAAGAGCGATGCGTGCATGCAGAGTCATCGGCAGCTTTTTGGAACGTGTGCAGCGCCACCCACCGAGAAGGTCATCGAAATCGAGGCTCGTGCATGCAGATGCGCCCCACGGGGGTGACACCATCAACTCTCTTTACCCCAACGTAGCAACCCCTAGTGCAAGCACTGGTGCAATAAACACCAAGCTCTGATACCTGGAACTTCGAGCGGTGCAGGAAACAAGATGCAACGTCGCAAAACTGGAAGAGGAAAGCTACGCATGTGCGCCTTTTTTCCCATTTTCCAACAGGCTGCTCAACCCATCCCTGAAACAAACGGATCTCCAGCTCCTGCAGAATTTGAGATCCGAGTTAAAGCCCCAAACCTTCAGACCCTTTGTGACCAGGGCGCTCGAGCACGAAGAAGAGGAAGTGCTTGAAGTTGCCTTGACCACTGGATGGGTTTCGCTGGCTCTCGGCTCTTGCTGCCAGGCCAATCTCAGATCTCGACAAATGGATCTTGGCTTTGGTCCAACCATGAAGTGTGTGTGCGGCTTGGGGAGGGGTCTCTCGAATCGGGGAAGGGGATGCTTTTTGTTTTTCTTTTCGTATCTATCCATAAGTTCTCTTCTGGTGGGCACTCCTCCCTCTCTTTTCATCACAAGGTTTAGGTCTTCTCTGCTGCTGGGTGGCAATTCAGGTGTGCCTCGGCGCCACTGTCGTGGATGAGCTGGAAATGGTGGACATACCTCAAACTCTGAAGGCCCACGGACCCTTATTTGACACGCCGAAACCTCAAGCCCTCGAAACTTTTTCACAAGGCCTGCTCAAGAGCAGAAAGAGCTCAACGCCAAGCGGTGCTCTTTTAGGGCTTCGGGCTTAAGGCTTCGGAGTCTTTGGCCGAGGGGTTTCGGGTTGCGAGCCGCTTGATGAAGGGTGCCACCGAGTGACGCATGCGCGTACACCCGGAAAAGGCGCCTGAGGATCTGGGCCAGTGCCTTGACTTGGTCTTGGTTCCAGGCCACTCTTATCGTTTAATAAGGTTGTCATGTTCAAGCTTTTTTGGGTCTATCCAGGAAGCGGCGACCATAAGCCCCAAAAACACTAAACTTGGACCACGGCCCTCAGATAGGCTCAAAACCAGGGCTGAGAGTCCGAAGCTCCCAGTCCCAAACTCGGCGACCGTATGCTGGACGGGCACAACTTCGATGCAAGGACAATGGGCTTTGGAACGCGTGTGGAACGGCCGGGACATTTCTTTCCACAACGCCCAGCAAATCCTATGCACAAGCACAAAAAGATGAAGAAACTAAGAGTACCAAATTAACCCATCAGATGAAGAAACTAAGAGTACCAAATTAACCCATCACATGGCACGGGCTTTCGGCCCCTAAATCTTCTTCACTTGGGAAACCGCGAAACTGAGCCGTGTATCATTTGCTGACGATATCGAAGAAAGCTAACCCTTATACGAACAGGTTCCAAGAACTTTCTGCTCCCCAAACAGACCCTTCGAATTTTCTGGCCTGCTTTTGCGGAAGCCCTATTGCTGCATCTTCTTCCTGAACACCTAAGTCCTGGTCAGCTACGAACCCGATCCACTGCGTTCCGTTCGCCCAACCTCTGAGATGCTACTCGCCGCTACTCACAACTCCTTACCGTAAACAAATTCAGGGCCACGAGGCATGAGGTATGTACATAAGCAGCGCGACCTGAATCCCGATGCTGAGCTCCGAAGTCTCCACCCTGCAGCTTCGGCGCTGGCCGAAGCTCTGGCGGCATGGGCGAGCCATCGGAGGGAAGGAGGTCCTTCCCGGGTCGTGCGGAGGGACTTCCAGGAGCTTGGGGCCGAGAATTGAAATTTTGAGGCAACTTCAGACTTCAGGAAGCTTTCGCAGTGGAGCACATGGAGAAGAAAATCCTGAAAGCAAGGAAACTGCGCTAAGCTCAGGAAACAAGATTGTTGAATGTGATTTGGGCCTTTTGTCGTCATGTCGAATGCATCACTGACATCACGGCGAGCCTGCCCCCGAACCGAAGCCTGAAACCCTTGCAGCTAAACATGGCCAAACCTTGAAGTCCTGACTCCAAAACTTCTGTACACCTCGGCTTCTTCCAGTAGGCCTTTCCTTGCAGAAACGGACACTCGGCCAAGCTCTGCCCCCTCCTTGTCCAGCAGCTTCGCGTCCGCCCACTCCACGAGGCGCCTCATGTACTGCGGGGCGGGCCTCAGCTTTCGGAGCTTCTTCAGGCCTTGCAGAGGGTTGGTTGGGGGGGGTGGAGGGGCTGAGAAGGGGGATCCCCCAAGTGAGTGTTCTTTCATCGCCTCTGAGCTCTCCGAGCAAGGGCGTTCACCATCCCACAGATTGAGAACTTTGCTCTGCTCTCTCCGGGGCGCAGGAGCTCTGGCACAGTGGTTGTTTCATCCGCCCAGTGGTAGTGCACCTTCTCACCTCTCAGGGACTTTGTGGTAGGGTTTTCAGCGACCCAGTCATTCGAGAAATGGAAGGCTCGGAGCTCGGAGGGCTTGGAGCTGGAAAAGCCCGGCTTCCTTAGCGGACCCCTCAAGAAGCCCTGAACCTGGGGAGGCTCGGGAAGGCAAATGCAGCAAGTGCAAGTCCCTCCTGAGCACCGAAGCGCTGCCTACCTATGCAACGGTCGAGAACACGGCTTCCACCAGCCCATACCAGCCCCAAAACCCTGAACCAAAGTTCTTGAAACAGCCGAGATTCGAAAAAAAACTTTCCCGAACCCTAAAAGTTCGCCGGCAACCTTGGGTCGAGGATTGAAAGGCTTTTGGCCAAAAAAACTGTTTTCCCTGCACATGCCGTTTAAAGCCGTTTAAAGCTTAGCAGTTTAACAACCATCCATCTTCAAGCGCGCCAGCCTGCAGACATGATTGGGCACGTGTGATCCGTACAGATGTCGCTGATGAAGCTCACCACACGAACCGCTTCCTTTCAGGGCCCAGAAGTAAACATCCTCCTTCATCTACAGTCTGTTACACTGTGAGATACTGCCGCTGCCCCTCGCCAGGGGAGTGCTCCACCGATCAGCCAACATGAGCTCTCTCGGTCGTCCAGGAAAAACCCCCCCTCCTCAAAGATGACCTTGCTCTGGGAGGCAATCCACGTGTCCTGCTGGGCACGCGATGCAGCCCGGAAATTGCGCCAGCAAACGTCTGTGCAGAGTCCTGAAACCCAAGCCCCAAAATCTCAGGCGCAAACGCATGTCCCAAGCCCGCGATTGGCCCCTCGTCCTCATCCACAGAGTTCGGGCGCTTCACGGAAGCACGGATGTCGGACGTCCCCAGGGTCTCCTAAACCCCCATCAACCCGAAACCCTGAATTTCGGGTTTAGGGTTTGGGGTTTAGGGTTTAGAGTTTAGGGTTTAGGGCTTAGGGTTTAGGGATGTACGGTTCAGTGCCAACTTCATGCTCGAAATCGCCTACCTTGAGACCCGGGGCCCAAGGAGGCATACAGCTTTCAGGTAGAGATGCTGTCTCGTCACTTCTTGGCTCACATGCCACAAAGTACGCCGAAAAGCACGCAGACCTTTCAAGAAGATCCTGGTGCTCTCGTCGCTGGCACGTCACCCTCGCTCTGGGCGCCCACCTCCCATCCTCAACGCTACGACCCCGGAAGCCCTGATCCGCGAATAAGCGGGCTCGCCTGCGCTTGCAGGTGGAGAACATGGCCGCCGCGGTGCGGGGGCGGAATGGTCTGGGGCATCGTCTCCTGTGGGGCACATGGGTCCAGGTTTCGGCCATCTCAGAATTAGGGTTCAGGGTTTTGGGGCCTTAAGGGTCCCTAGCAACATTGGAGGGCTGACCCCAAACCCCTGCAAGGAAAGCCGCCATGCCTGTCTGGTTCCTGCAGCTGAGCGCTGAAGAACCCTGCACCCCGAAGCCTGAACTCGTCCAAACTCCTGCAAAGACCCACGGTCCTGAGCCATGGCTAACGGGAGGAAAAAGACGGTGGAGTCTCGAGCCAAGCAGCCGCTCCCAAGAGACCTTCAGGCAAAGGGGTTGTAAATTGCATAGGATCGGGTTTTGGGCTCAGAATTTAGATTCTGCTACGGTTTCGTGTAGAGCGCTGTTTCTGAAAAGCAGCGGTAAGCTATCAAAAGGCCCACCCCAAATCAACTCAATCTATATATCGACACACACTACTCCCGAGGGTCTTCATTCAATTGTGTTCCTGCCAGGAAAAAGGGTGGCTATGTGGCAGAGGCGATTCTGGGAAAGTTAAGAGCTGTTGCTTTGAAACATCTTTAGGCAGGTGGGATGCTTCTTCTTGGGGTTCCCACACGCTGCAACGCTGCAAACCTCAAACCCTAAACCTCTGAACCCTCTAAACCCTCGAAGCCCTCTACACCCTCTGCGTCCTAAGGCCCTAAGGGGGTAAGGCCGCTTGTAAAAAGATTCAGAACGGATGCTTTTGCGCAGCGCCGCGCAACGAAACGGGTGAGACGGCCCAGTTGCTTCGCAGGGGCCTGGTACTGGGACCTGTCGGGTCTAGGACAGGGTGTCAGATTTTGGTTGGGATTTTGGGTGGGGATTTTGGGTTTGGGCTTGAGGAGGCGATTAGGCGATTTAGGGGGCTTCCTTCGAGACGGAGCTCCTCGTCCCCGAGAACGTGGAGGTGAAACAACCTACCTACCTAGTCTTCGATACGGGCAATCGGTGCTGTTTCTCTTTGGTGCTACATGTCGAATTTCTGAAAATTCGGAGAATCTTAAGACAATTTAAGCAGCAGCTGCCGTATCCGACACATGGGCATGCAGAGAAGAAGCCATGCGATGCGAATGGGCTTTGACCTGCAGAGAGACGCAGGGAAAACCAACAGAAGGAGTGGTCACCGCCTAGCGTGCTCGAACCATGTCAGGGATGTGGGCTTGGGGACTGCTCAAATGCCGTAGCAAGCATTGCAAGCACTTTGGCGCAACACTGACAGCCATTCTCCATGATGATCCTCGAAGCTTCGACGAATTTCACCTTGTTACCTTCTTTCCCCACACCACTTCTCCGCTCGATGTCCCTAAGACGCCCCTCCTAAGAAGAAAAAGCAAGGAAAGGAGCAGCCCTAGAGACAAAACCTTCTGCCGAGAATGCGCTAGACCTTGCTTGTGAGCGCCGTAGGCCGTAAACCCTTCCGAGCCTGGTGTCTCAGAACCCAGGACTGGGCTCGCCCCTGGCGGCTTCATGGAGCTGCTCTGAGATTGAGGGCGTGCTCGAGGGAAGCGTGCAACAGAAAGCATCTTCTGGTCAACAGACACGCACATTCCCTTCTCCGAGGAATTCGATCGACTACGCAACGCATCCTCTGGCCTTTCCCCGGCATCTGCTGCGAGAAGGCAACTTCGCTTGTGGCACACTCGGGTCCCGGAGGCCTACAACCGGGCCTCAAACCCACAAAACGGGTGGCTCTGGACTTTTGCTCAAAGAGCAAACGGGGCCACGGGGCCTTGGGCTTCCGGGCTTGAAGCTTCAGGGACCCCCAGCCTCGTGGGTGAGGCTTTCGCGCTCTGGACGAAATGACAGGCCCGAAGCTTGAGGATTTTGAGCGGGATCGTTCACTCCGGCTTTGAAGTTCGAATCTTTGGGGTGTGAGGGAGTGCAGCAAGGCCCCTCCGTCCTAACCGCGATCATCATCGGCACAATCGAGAGTTTGGACCACCCCGAAGCCGAGCCTCAAAGCTCCCAAAGCCCCCCAAAGCCTGGCAATCCTATGACGTCCAGCCTGCCATAGCGCATCCAGCGGATCCATGCAGTAGGGAACTTGCGAACAAGCTCATCCCAGAACTTCGTATCCTGGCTGCGCGCTTCAGGCTTGTGCGACCTAGCCTGCAAGAGTCTTCTGATCAAAAGTAGACACACCTGAAGATTAAGTGTCCCCTATGCAATGGGCATTTGTGCAAAAACATGTGCAAAAACGGGTGCAAGGCAAAGAGAAAGAAGAGCCCCACAAACGCCTACGCTTCACTGTAAGGTCCTCTCCTGCACTCCAGCCTTCTTTTTGCTTCAAAGCGAGAGGACGTGTGCGAGCTGAGGCTATCGGAATGTTCAGAGGGCCGAGCTCTAGGGTTTAGGGTTCTGGTTTGGGGTGTAGGGTTTGAAGCTCAAGCCCGGATCCGACCTCATGCAGGAACTTGGCCGCGAAACGGAAGGCAGCCATGTTACCTTCGTGGAGCTGTGGGGGGATCTTGAGGGCGTAGGGTTTCGGAAGTTTGGAAAGTGAGGTTTGGTGGTATCAGGTGCCGCAGGGAGCCAAAGCCAAAAAGGTATCAATCGTCTACCTGCAAGTTCTGTTTTTGGACTCCAAGCCCAATACCTTGGGAGCAACTGATGTGCACTAGGCACATCGAAAGTCCCTGCGACCCCATGGAGGCGCATTTACTTTTGGGGGCCGGGGTTTCTTGTGCCACATGAAGGCACATGGGCTGGGAGGTTTGCATGCGGATTTGGGCTCACAAAAAAAAGGCCACAGCTCCCAACTGCTCCGGTGCACGCGTCATGGCCATCATCACGAAGCCTCGGCTCGATTTTCGCTTCATACTGGTGTTTGAGGCGTATTAGTGAGGAAAGGGCTCATGAAGCCGGACTTACACGGAGGCTACAGGTCGGTTGCCTTAGTCCCTCAGCCAGGCTACGAGTGTAGTGCACATCAATGCGCATGTGAACCAGCGCACCACAATGAAAGCACGGAGCACTGACGATGTTCACCCGTTCTCAACAAAACACGAAAGCAGGACCCAAGAAGCGGGCATTGCCTCGGATGGCAGGCGCCGCGTGCTGGAGCGCCAGTCCCTCCTGACGGATGGCAAGGTTCACCTGAGCACACAGAGGGGCAGCTCTCGACCTTTCTTGCGGTTTTAGCACACAAGTCTGAGAGGTTTAGACTTTGGAGCGTCTAATCGGGCCGCAGGAAGCTTCAGCCCTCCTACCGCTGAAACAGCAAAAGCCATCCCAAACACATAAAGCGTACGGCCTCAAAAGCCTGCTCTCTGAGGCGGGTCACCAAGTCTTCATCGCCCTTGAGCCGCATGGAGGCAAATTCCATGGCCCGCCAAGTCCTGAGCCAGCCCGGTCATCTCTTCGTACGGGCTTGGGCTTAGGAGGCTTAGGGTGCCTCAGGCCACTCAGAGTCCGTGGGTTTGGGTTCGTCAACATGAGGTGATTGAAGTTTAGGGTCCAGCCTCTGGGACTCTGGGATCATCCAGCGAACCCTACAGATGGCGTCGAAGGCGGTCGAAGCCCGACTGAAGCTTGAAGCCAAACCCCCGCAATCAACCCTCGACCCTCCGAACCCTCCGAACCCTCCGAACCCTCCGAACCCTCCGAACCCTCCGAACTCTGGATCTTGCACTGACTCTGGGTCGCCGAGTCACTGCGCCACAGCGTGGAAAACGATCTCATCGTCATCCCGGAGCTCCTCGGTGGCGTAGCGCAGGACGGAGCCCTCCTGATCTGCTTCTTTGGGGTGTTTCGATTCGTGCTTTCAGGGGGTCCAGAGAGGGTCCGGAGCTTGGCCTTCGCGAGGTTTTGTAGGGTTGGAGGGACGTTCACAGGGTTTTCTGTAGGCTTTAGAATTGAGGGTTTCGGGTACTCTCTGAACCCAAAAGAATCCCCTGTCCTGTCGCACGGCCTTCAGCATCACCGGGGCATTCCCGCTGAGCCTGCCCGGGGTCACGAGTCATAGTTCAAGCGTTGAAATGGGTTTCTGAACCTACTTTATTGCTATGGTGGGACAAGACTACTCACTACTCTTGAAGACTGAAGCTCCGTACAACCTGAGCACCATTAACTCAACTCTGCACTACACCCTGGACACTGAAGCCGGCATACTTTCCAGAATGAAGTTTGCATGCGTTCCGTGCGCAGGCATCTGGGTGTCATAGTTGCACCCTGAACCCGTCTGAAAACAAACCCCAAATCCAAAGCCGAGGGATCGTGGATTGTTCACTGCGCTTCGCGATGCCTAGACTAGACGTTGGCCTTTTGAGTTTAGGGTTTCAGGGCAGCCTAAGACCTCATCAACTGCAGCGTTCTGAAGCCATACTGGAGGACCTCGAGTCCCGCACGATTTGGGGATTGCTCTCGACCAGCTTTGACCTGGAAGAGCGCGCGGGACAACTTCGGGTTTGGCCTTGCGGGGCCTCGAGGTTATGGGAGTCAGGGCTTCGGGTTTCAGCTTAGGGTTTAGGCACGGCTGTGGGTGCTGAGTAAGCTATTGAATGCAGCTATTGTGTATCAGCTGATGGACACCTCTGCCGCCAACACTCGAGGTTCAGGATGCGACGGGGCTCATCGCATCAAGCTCTGATGCGCGTAGAAACTGAAGGTCTCGCTTACACTCGACCCGAGAGAAAGGGCGCCGTTTGAGGCCTGGGGCATGCTCCGGCCCCTGGGCACTGGGCCATGATCAAAGAGCAGCAAGAGCATGTTGCATGGGCGAGAATCTTGTCTGTAGACACTCGTCATGCGGGCCTTGTTGCGCCTCATGCCGCCAGCCCATGTTATTTATACGATGCCCATGCTATTTATACGAGCCATATCGCTGAGGCCCCTGAGCCCCTGACAAATCATCTGTGGGACCCTGGTAGAAGTGATCCATGTACCTTCGGCACATCTCCCTCTCAGGAGCTAGCAGGTAGCATCACAAAGCAATTGCATGATGACCCCCAACATTCGGACTCTGACGACTGACGACCACTGGGACCATGCATCAATTGGCTTCATGAAGCTTGATCTCGATCATCAAAGGCTTGTCGGTCGGTCTAGGCTTCGGTACACCCACCCCCCGCCCCCCCAGCCCCCGCCAAGGCGCAGAGAGATCGCTCGCCAGTCCTGGACCAGCCAAGGCTTCACACCACCTTCAACCTTCTCCAAACGTTGCGCTGCAGAACTACGCTTCAAGCGTGCCTACTTAGCAATATATACTCCAAATCAGCAGTCTAGCCAAGTAGCTATAGATTCCTTCAGAACCTGTCAAACCTCCTGGTTCGGCCACGACCGTACACCATGGCCCTTCTGAACAGAACCCTCCTCCAGTGCATCCTGAACCTGTGAATCCAAACTGCCAGAAATGACAACGATCCTGCTTGACTGCTTCTATGATGGAGGCAGCATTCACATTCGCCGCATACCTTGGTGCAGCTCCTAAACCATGGACCAAAGCAAATCAATTTCAGTGAAAGCCATATTGTTGAAGGCCGTTCCGGCTGCAAGACTCTACAGCTTTGCGCTTCTAGGACATTTCGGATTGTGGGAATGCTTTTGCGCATGTACGATTACTTGACAAACTTTAACGCTAGCTTGACAGGGCTGCAGAGGAGCCTTGCAAGCTGAAAGTGTTGCGTCCTTTGACCATGCACATGCTTTGCTTCGTGTTATGGCTGTGGTGCGGTTCCCTGTCATATGTAGGGTAGACTCTTCGGGGCCCACTTACTGTCACAGGCCCTGAACAGATGCCCAAGGCCGTCACCACCAAAGACATTGTCGTATCGGAGGAGATACGAAGCAGAGCCATACATCATCTTGAAAACCATCTTCCAGGTTGGACAGGGTCTGAAATGTTGCAGGCCTGAAGAGATCTGGAGCATAGATCGCAGTTCAGACTTTCTGTTGACGGTGCCCGTTCCTCTGGTCGAAAGAGAATGAAGAAGCCCCCTCAAGAGAAATTTTGGGGGGTTAACCCTAAACGGGTGGGTGTTCAAGCACCGGGAGCCTACAGTCGGAAGCCCACCGAAAGCCCGCTGAGCCGGCCCCAGCTGCTCGACGGCCTTCCAGCTCCTGCGAACGGCCTCCTCCACAATTTCCGGCTCCTTAAGAGGACTGCAAGAACAAGGGGGCTTCGTGGGATTAGTGTTTGAGATGCGTTGCGGCTCTCGTTTGAGATGTTCAGGGCACGACAAACTCAACTCTCAATCACCCGAAGAATACGTTGAAGGACTGTGACCTGAAACCCGGCAGCACAGAACCCCTCAGAGGCTAGATCACCCTCGTGAAGCACAGAGCCTTCAACCTCCAGGAGCGACATGTGCATGCCGCGGCTCGCTTCGAACTTTCTTGGTACCGAAGGACAGCACCTTAGGGAAAGAGGCAAGAAAGCCTGACACATGCAGCTCTCAAAACTGCCCTTGCCCTTCGCCTCTTCACTCCTAGACTCCTCACGGCCTCTCCTAGTGCCTCCAAAAAAAACTGAAAAAGCCGAGATGCATCCACATTCCGCTTGACAGCTTCCAGCATCACCTCTCTTTTTCAGGGCTCAGAAACTTACAGTCTGCTTCTCCACATTGTTCGAGGTTTAGGATGTAGGGTTGCGGGTTCTGGCTCGAAGTCGTTGGCTTGCATTTTCTTCTGTTCGTGGAGGTCAGTGCAAGCGCTGAGGTCCGGTGGCACATGCGTTGGGACATTGAAGTTTGGATTGAACGGACAAACAAAGTACACGCTTTGGGCATGGGTCTGCGTACATCCCAACCTGTCTGCTTTCGCCTCTTCCGATTGACGTACGTTCTGAGTGGGCCAAACGGCAAGTGCCAGTAAAACGATGTATGCGCGTGTCTGTCTCTCCATTGACTTAGATTCTGAATTTCTAGCACATGCAATGCAAGAACCTGACTTTAAACGTAACCCAGAGCACGAACGAGACAGCACATGCAGCAATGACCACAGCGACGTGCTGAGATCCCAGACCAATGTCTAAAGAAGAGCGCACAAATTCGAAGAAATTGTCAAAATATCAGTTTGTAAGATAGACACATAAGCCAAGTCCTCTGTTTCCTTCTTCTTCTTCTCTCAGCTCATACTACCTGCCTCCGGATTGTCGCACAAACTGCTCGGCCCGTAGTCTACGTAGGCCAACCTGCCAGAACATGATAAAACAGGAAGCCAGGTCAGGCTGATCTATCCATCTACATGTTGCCGACACGACATACCCATGCTCAGTCACAGCGCGGGCCCTTACAAGCCAAGTCGTCTTGCAAGTGCCAATGTCAAGCTTCCGAAGTTCCCAAAGCTCTGAAGACTTAATCATAATCCTCAATTCAACCCCCCTCCCAAGCTCCAAACAGGACCCCGAAATGACCAGCCCCAGGGAACCTCCACCCGTGGTCGATCTCCTGGACCACCGACTTCCAGAAAGCAGCGTCCTGGCATGGTCCCATGCTTGGGAAGAGTGGAGCTAAGCAGTCCAAGGAAAAGCCCGGTGCACCAAGTAAAGGACACGTAAGTGGGGCATGGTGGCCAGACTTGCTAGACTTCCCCCGGGTTGACCAGCTGGGCGGACCTTGAAATTTCTTCAATGCAGGCTGTCCCGTACACGCAAGATGTGGCAAACCCATGCTTACACGCTCCTAAACTGTCGCTTAGCGGGGCACCCTTGCTGCACCCCTCCATTCAAAATCCATGTCAACCCACGGCAAAAAAACTCCCAAATCGAAATGCAAAATCGTGCAAAATCCACATACAGGCTTGCACCGGCACAGGAACCAACGAACCAGAATCTCCAGCCCAGTACGAAGGACCCAAACGAGCGCTGCCTCCTGGAGCTCAGGAGATACCTGGGAAGGCTTCGAGATCTTGAGAGGTTGGGGTTCAGGGCCTGGGTTCACGTTCAGGGTTCAGGGAAGTTCGGGGCTAAGGGCTGCCGGGGATGTTAGGAGACCTTACGGGAGTTCACATGAGTTTACATCAGTTTACCCTTTCCCCTTCGGCCTTGGTGAGCGCAACGTCGTGGTACTTGGCGGCGGCGAGCATAAACGCCGCATCCCCCCTGGCATGATCTTCCGGGGCCCCGAGCCCTGAAAGACCATCTGGAGCAGAGCGACAGCCACAGCAAAGGGCACTTCTTTGCGGATTAAGGGTTTCGGATACAAGTAGGGTTGATAGGGAGCGGAAGTTCAGCGCTGAACCCTAAACCGGTTCAGCCCCGGTCCTGAGCGCTTCTCCCACGAAATCCAAGGCTGCCGCGTCCTGGCGCACCGCCTGGGCTTCTTTTGTCGGTGTTTCACGCATGCAATGGCTTGTTAGGGGCCTTCGGGGCTTTCGGGTTGCCAGGACACCCCGACACCACCCCTTACTCCGTCAAGAGAAAGCACACGCCCTCTACGGAAAGCCAAAGCAAGAGAAACCACGCCCAGACCCGCCTCAATTGATTGAAAAAACCAAGCCCCACCTGAACCTGCACAAAAGGTGGCCTCTAGAACCAGCGCATGGTCCTCGCGCAGGTCTGGTCCAAGAAACCTCGTTGGGCTTCAAGCTTCAGTCTTTTTAGGGGCCTCGATCGCCGAGACATGGAGACGCGCTTCGTAATGGTCGTCTCGAGCAAGGCTAGACAGAACTCAATCAAAACTCAATCAATGTAATGTACAAAGGATGGAAGCAACCTCAAGACGTCTCAAGGCGTCTCCACGTCCGAAATCCAAAAGAGATGTAATCCCCCGGTGCCGGGTCGGGCGACTGGAAGGCCTGCCAGCGGCACTGGATGGCCCGGAGCATGAACTCCCGGTCATTCCACAGCTTCTCGTCGCAGTGCAGCAGGGCTCGCCAATGCCTGGGCTCGCAACTTTAGCCTTCTCGCATAATGCCTTGGAAGCTGATGTCGCAAAAAACCCTGCTGATGTGGGAGCGCATGCGTTGCAAAGAGGGAGCACCGGGAGGACAATGATACAGAAAAATCAGATGCCACAGCCAGACACAATGCCGACTTCAATTGAAAATAGCTCATGCTCCTAACGGCACCTGCTTGCTAAATCTGATTCAGAAATTTGGGGGGGCTACCAGGAGGTTTTGTGAAGCTTCGGCTGGTGCCACGCGCGTGGTTGCTGCCTTACATGCTCGAGTCGGTCAGAGCGCATTGACTGCAACAAGTTCGGACTGCAACTCAGGACTGCATCTCCTGTGTGCAGGAGACTTGCTGTGAATGCTGCTGGTCCTGCAGTCAGTGGCAACAAACCCTATTCCCCAAACACATTTTCACTAGCCACGTTGACCACACACCACACACACCCCTGGCTCAAATGTGCCTCCGGCGAGCCCGGGAGAGAAAAAGCTCAAGGGCGCTGATCGGCAAGGTTCGCGCTTACAATTCTGGGTAGCACGACTGGTCTGATGATAGAAAAAAAAGAATGGTTAGTTTTAATTGAGTTTTACTCTTTTCGAAGGATATTTTAAAAACTTGGCCGGATTAACGGGTCTGAAGATATCTTCAAAGATATCTTCGGATCAGGCCAGGCCCTCACGAGATGTCTTCAAGATATCTTCGGATCGGGTCAGGTCCTCGCCCGATATCTCGCAAGATATCTGCCAATTTGGGGCCCCAAGATATGTTCAAGATATCTTCGGATGGGGGTCGGATGATATATTTAAGATATCTGCAGAAGATGCCATGGATATTAGAATGTTCAAAGCATCATGTTGGAGGTCAAGTATCTTGACTGCGGATGCCACGTTGACTTTCAAGTAAAGTCTGAGCGAGTCAAGCTCAAGCTCCGTGCAGTTCAGAAACCCAATGTACAGCACACAGGCATGGCAACACCATACCACAGATGTTGCTTCTTAGTTGTTATTGCTGAAACTAATGAAAATGAATTAAAATATTTAACTAGTGAAATTTCGAAATCATTTAAATTAGTTCAATTACTTACATTGGTTCAATTATTTGAATTAATTCAATTGCTCAAAACAACTCAATAACTTACATGTATTGAACTATTTGAATTTATGAATTTAAGCATTTTCGTACTGCCAGCGCAAAAGCAACTGCAAGAGCAATTGCAAGAGCAACTGCAAGAGCAAATGCAAAAGCTTATACAAACCCACTTGCAAAGGCAAATGCAAGAGAATAGACGAATCATAAAAGTTACATTCACCCCAAAGTTAAGTGCAAAAGACTCATTTCAATTATCATTCCTACTTGCAGTGCTACTCACTACACTCTGCCCTGCAGAGCCCTCGGTCTCTTTTCCAAACACCTCGCACTCCGTTGCAGTCTCCACCTGTGCAACCCGGTTCAACTCCGGGATAGTGCTTTGGTAAATCGCTCCGTGGCACCGGGGCCAAAGGGGGGTGATGCAACAACACTTGTTGCTTGGATGCAGAGGAACACCTCTCTGCTTCTCCTTCACCGCTAACGCCTAGCGGTTTGAAACACCCAAGGCACTCTCATCCCCAAAGCACTCTCACAGGAAACGGAAGACTGTCAACACTGCGCTGAATGGTAGAGACCAAAGAATTGTGGGAAAGGTAGCCACATTAGGGGAAAAACCCCTCTGGTGTAACCACGGATCGCAGAGTCCTACACGGCTCACCGCGTCCGCCCAGTTACTTTTGGATGGCACATATTCCCGGAAAATGGATGTTCGAAGAGTAAACAAGGCCACATGTATGAGGTGGGCTAGGCGTTCAAGGTCCGGCGAGCTGGAACGGCCTCGGATAAGCGCCATAAGTGCTGCCACGTTGTCAATATACCAGTAGCCGCGCCTTCCCCTGAAGGATTCAGCACGCACTACCAGCCCGTAGAAAACCATTGCCAATTCCAACTGAGCGATCTTATGCTCACCTGGCGTGAACAGGGCATAGAGCTCTGAGTTGACCACAGCCGCAAAGCTCTCCCGCTTCTCCGGCTCATCCAACCAAACTATGTGGAAGCCTCCCGTCCCTTGTCCAGGTATGTCTTCGGCTGCGTCACTCGCAGCAAGAAATCTTGGAAATGGCCGAGGGAAAAGCTCGAATTCACGCTCCGGTCGCACAGCCAGCACTGCTAAGATCATCTGCAGACTGGCTCGGATTGGCGGGGTCAACTCCCGACTTGTTTCATCCGCTCTCTCGCGGATAGAGTGCAGGCCTCCGGCTCCTACTCTTCCGTACATGCCCTGCTCCAAGAAGTTGCACGTACCATACAGCTTGGATGCCTGGCCGGCAGAGAGCAACCCGGTCGAAAGGCTAGTGGTCACCATATCCTGCACCTTCTGTAGCAGACGCTCGCGAACGAAGAACTTGACATGCCCACTTCTCAATGCCTCGGGAAAGTCAAAATCGAGGCCTAAAAAGGTACCTGCTGAAGCCATTGCTTGCCTTTTATCTGGTGCAAAGGGGGAACCCAACATGGAGTTGAGCTCGGAAAAGGCTGCTTGCCCTGACCCTTTAGACGACCGCCAGTCTGTCAAGTGTGAGTCGTCGAAATACAGGGAGACGAGGATGCCGAGTAATCTGCGCCCCAGTGCCTCGACGGCACGGCTGTAGCGATTGAAACTCGTGACAGCCAACGGGAGGCCAAACAGCAATCCAGAGTAGAGCTGATATGCTGGCTGGCACCATTCCTGATGCCACCAAACCACAACGCACGCCAAACTCGCCCGATGGGACATGGGGCAGTGGCGATAAGCGTCGGGCCAGTCCTCACCCCCGCCTTCCAGCGCATCCACTCGCTGGGCTTCCTCGAACTCGGAGGTAGACAACTGCCGCAACAGAACGGCTGCATGCTGAGCTGGCCTCAACGGGGAGCAAAGGACCAACTTGTTGGGGTCTGAGCTAAGCTCTGACTGGCCTCCGGCATCGGCGTTGTCGATCACTCGCTGTTTGCCACTACGTTGCGTAATTACACATCTGGGGATTAGACGGAACTCCTCTCCCTTGACAGCTCTCAATAGCTCTGGGTATTGCAGCGGTTTTGAGCAGAAGCCGTTTTGAGCATCCTTCAAGCTCTGGGCTAGGAGGAAAGCGTCGTCCTTTCCTGGTCTTAAACTGGCTTGGATGCGGCTGTTATGGGCTCCCACATCCTGAAAGATTTCGTCTCGGCCTATCTGCCTAGCACCCTGCCACGGGAAAACTCCGTAATAGGGGGCCGTTCCCACGGCTGACATGCCTTCGATGAAAGCTTGGGGCAACGACACGTCCCCCCACGACACCAGGAGCAACAGTAGGGCGAGAAAGCCGACGTCCCGTCTGGCTGTCACACGCCGGACACCTGGCTCCTGCCCCTGCCGCAGACAGGTGTCAACCCCTGCCCACCTGCGCTTTAGCTCCCTAAGCGCCCCCACGGCAACCCGCCGCGACCGCTGGAGAGTCCCTCTCCCCGCTGCAGTCACCTCCGCAGCATATTGCAGGTCGAGATCGAGAACGGGTTCGGCTTCGAAAGGGGTAGGGTAGCGGGCTAGGTCCCTGGCCAGATCGAAATGCTCGTCAGGGTGCAGCCCAAAAGGCAGGACTGGAGGTAGGGCGGCTTTAGCCATCCCACCTGCTTGCTGGCCCTCAGCATTCCGCTGCCACTGCCTTTGCTGGGCACTGACCATTTGCGGTAGCAGAGGGCCGTCCCACGGCAGCTCCTGCGCCCGGCACCACTGTGGAAAGGAGGTGAAGGGCGGACTGTTGATGAGGTCCTCCACAACGGGGAAGTGGAAATCCTGGAGGAGGTCTGGCGGGAAAAGGGACTTGAAGGCGCCGGTCACAGCATCTTGGTGCAAGTACGGGATGACGGCCCCCACTGGAGTAGGCAACGCTCCAGCTGCCCGCGAGGATGACTCTCCGTCGCGATCCCTTGCGCCTGCGCCCCGGCCGTCCCGCAGCCGCATCCTGCGCACAATCCGGAGGTTTCCCCTCCTGAAACACCAAACCTGCCAGCACATCCGCCTCGCAGGCTTGGGACAGGGGACAGTCGCAGGCCAACACTCGACCCTCGAGAGACCTGAGTTCGCTGCGCATGTGGGTCATGACGTGTTCTGTGAAAAGCGGGAGCCAGTCCACAGTTGAAGCCTGGAACAAACGGACAAGCCCACTGTGTGACTGGCAGCCGGTGGGTATGATGCCCTCTTCCCACATACACGTGGTCCGCTGGCAGGGTTTTGTCGGGCTGCAAAGCCGACTGCACCTCAGCTCGGCGCGGAACGCGCGCCGCCTCCCCCGGGTCGAGTGGCCTGAGGCCCAGGGAAATAGCCAGCGGCGCCATAGCCCACTCGCGCAGTGCTCGTGGATCCAACTGTAGCCAATGTTCCCGACGGCCAACTGTCTGCACCGCTGGCCCGCGGGGCACATGGAGCTTGGCCCAGCCGGTTCTGCACGCCCACCAGCTTGCTGAGACTGCGATGTGGAACGCCAAAGGGGCTGTGTACTCGGCCTCCGACACCGTGGGAAAGACGATTTGGTCTCCAACTGCCCACGGTTCCCATTCCGCTGGATCGTGGGTATGGTGGCACCGCAGCGTCGGCCCCTGGGTCAACTCCCAGATATTGTGCCGCAGGCGCTGTGCCTTGCGACGCGCCCCCATGAAGCAACATGCGTGGTAGTCGGTGTCGAACCATTGTCCCGACGCTGACATCGCTTTCTCCTGCGGCAAATGCCACTGCAAGCTGTTGCGAGGGTTCTCGCGCAAGGCTCCCCCCCCGCGGTCCACCACCTGCTGCTGCAAGTCCAGGACAAACTTACAGGCCACGTTGTCTCGGGACACTCTGCGCTGTGCCCGAATGTCCAGCCCTGCAAGCCCCATGGGATGTTCTTCGCTCCGGAGCGGTCTCGGCGCTCCTGACTGTGTCCCTATGTCTCGAGGAATCTCCCTCG